TAGCCCCATTATTGAATTAGTTGTTAATGTAGAGTGCTTTTCACATTCCTGCTATATAGTTTTCAGGTTCTTAGAGTGGAACAGATAAATAGTGCTTGTGAATATGTGTTTGGTCTTTCACTCACTCAGGAAGCCAGTTCATCTTTCACTCTCTCCACCTCCCTCTCATCCCTCATTTCCTTCCTTGCCTTCTCCTATCTCTCCCTCCCTCTAATCTACTGCAATGACCTGAAGGAGGGCTTCACACTGCAGCGCTCAAATAATAATCAAGCACTAGGATGTTTTCAAATTTATAGGACACTGAGCGTTGCATAGCAACAGAGATTGCCGGGGTGATCCAACAGGCGCTGGAAGTTGGGTGAGGGAGGAACGGGGCGAGTGACAGGAGACAGGAGAAGGAAGAGGAGATGATAAGAAAAACAGGAGACAGCAGAGAGGGCTGAGATGGGAGTTATGGAGCTGTGATATTGTACACAAAGGGAGAGATGAATGAGGGAGCGAGAAACAGAAAGAGGAAATGAGAAAGTTAAGGTTGGCTTAGTTGAAAGAAAACATTCACAAACTGCTGGTTGCTCCTCTGTGTTATAATTATCACCATGTTTACATGTTCTACTCTGGCATTTTGGCATATATAGGTGGAGTGAAGTTTAAAAGTGACTCGCCTAGAGCAGAGCAGGATAGTCTTCTCACTACTGATCCAAGTCCAACTACAGGCGGCTATTTTCAAACCTCTCATAGATCAAGAAAAACATATTGTAGTTTTGTCCTGACACATTTCACCCTTTAGCTTCTGTCTGTCTTTCTCTCTGTCTTTTCCGTTCTTTCTTTCATTTTTTTTCTTGGAATCCAAAATGCATGGGTTTCAGTTTCCTGTTCATCCTTGTTGCCTAGAGACTGCTTTGGACCTCAGTTTACCTCTGGCAACATGTTTCTGGTGTTGTGTCTACCTCCTTCACCAGGAAAGCTTTTTAAAACAAAACAAAAACAACCGGACAAACTACAACAAAGCTTTATTTACAGTTGCAGACTTCCCAGAACCTGCTAGAAATGTGTGAAGTCAGCAGTTTTGAACATATTCGTCACATGATGACTTCTGAAATGCTGAATACAAAATACTTTGTTTGTAACCTTCATTAAACCATGATTAACTGTTAAATGGCACATTTATGATTAGATGTTAGATGATTGGACCTGATAGTTTCATAATTAAGTAGGTGTGGATATTGTTCACTCTCTACACCAGGGGTGTCTAAACTACGGCCCGGGGGCCAATTGCAGCCTGTGGTCCATTTTGAATTGGCCCTCAGTAAATTCAGAAAATATAATGGGATATGGCCCACACATGAGACTTGTACTTGTCTTATATTGTACTTCTTAAGTATATATGTAAACATATATTCCCGTCGTTTTTACGAGTTGATAAGCCCACTTTTCAAATACATTTGGTCAATTAAAGTTGAAAACATTTTCAAACAAATCTTAGTTGATAAAAATAAAGCTTTATAACTTATTTGGCAAACAATCTTGAAATATACTCTTCATATTTTCCCTTATTATAAGCAATCTGAGGCTTCTGTTTTAAGGAATTAGCTGCCAACAAAATAAATGAAACCCAATGGAAAGCTGTGAGGAAGGCTGTTTTTATTTCCAAAATATATTCTAGTATCAAGCATCATTTATCTACATTTGATGGATTTTGCTAACTTATAACTTGACTTATAAGGCACTAAACCTCACTGCTCATGAGTGGTCCAGCCCCTCGTATATCTTTCTGTATGTGGCCCTCAGTGAAAAAAAAGTGTGGACACCCTTTCTCTACATCTATATGGATGAATAAACAGCTACTTGTATAGTTCTTTCAACCTGTGCCCTTAAGCGTTCCTTGTTGTCTGCAATGTATTCACACCAAACTCTTTAAAGTAGCTCTCTTTCATGACCGAACACGATTATTAAATGACCTCAATTCCAAATGTCAGAGTATCTTTTTAGTTACAATTTTTCCAAAGTCTCGGAGGTCAATACATGACATTTAGACAAAAGAATAAGATTAACACAGCATTCACCTGAACACTCTAAATTCTAGTAATACTCTGCATGTATTTTCACACTAGTGCTCAAAGCTAGACTCTTATATATTTTGCTGTAGTATGTGGGTGCTCATGGGCACTAAGGCAGTTGCTGCTCTTTTGATTATCTCCGTATTGAAAGGCTCAGTAAGTCCCTTCAGACGCAGTTATCTCGCTGTGTCACTGGCAGGTGTTTCAGTTTGGAGAGTCAACTGAGTGCAAGCGGTGATGACAGCTGTGCTCCGGACTAATTATTTCTTGTCACCGGGCACAGATTTGTTTTGGAGCTAACCTGAGGTCCTCTTCACAGAGAAGTGTCAGTCCAACCCCAAGGTCACCTGCTGTAGTCTCTTTAATGGATTGCTTTATAGTGAAAATGAGTGTCTGAGCCGTGGCTGTTTATGAATACTAAATTAATATCTTATTAAATTAGAACATCTCTGACCTCGACACAACATAGACACCCCCAACCCAGTGCATCTATAATTAGCAAACTCAGATAGCCATAGCTTTTTTCCGATAACACCCCATTCATGTCAGTATAGGTAGGTGAGAAAACGCTCAACAAAACAGTAGAATGCAAGATACAGCCTCCGCACGACCATAAAGTTGAATGACTGTTTAAACTAAACATAAACATTATAGGCACGGAGAAAAAGAACAATATATTCTGCAGGGATGTTGTAATGCAATGTATTAGTTTATCTATAGATGGGTATAGCCAGTAAACCGGCAACTGAATATAAATCCAGTGTGACTGTTTTATATGTCTTGAAGGCAGTAATTGAAGATAAAAAGCTTTTCTTTTTTCTAGCAGAATGTACAAAAGATTTGCACATTTTGAACCAGAAGAAAATCTTCCCTCAAGCGGGGTTTGAGATTGGTGAACTGATGGTGCAAGTAACGAGAAATATGTATAGATTGGAAGTAAATAAGATAAAAACATGAAATACTGTACTGTAGAACAGATAAACAGTGTATTAAAAGCCATTTAGTGACTTATGGGTAACTGCAAGTAAGCTTCAGGCCAACATTTGGTAACACGAGGCCTTCATTTAGTTTTTCTGTCTGTGTACCAGTGTTTGTTTTGATGATGATATGCAAATGGTGTGGACATAAAATTAGAATGCACTTTTGCGTTAAATGAGGTTTAAGGGCAAATGTGGAGAAATAATTTGGAAAACTGCATAATTCATGACCTGCTTGGAATAATAGCACATGAAATATTCATTAGCTAAATTACTTATCTATGTAATCTGCTTTTGTTGTGGAGTTCAGGGGAGAAAGGGCAGCGGAAGAGAAAAAAAAACGACACCATCCACCCTCACCAAAACACTGTCTTTGTTTGCGAGAAATAGACCTTTTATACAAAAGCGATGTGTTTCGAGTCTACATGTGGCACATTGATGCACAAGCTCTTATTAAATACCTTGCCTGCCACTCTGACTTCTCTTTTTCTGCCACAAAGGTAACCTACCTCAATTACATTTAGATTTCGAGAGGGTATTGCAATGCAACATAATGTCAAGTCATTTGCAGAGGAGGATTTTTCAGGCTTAAAGATGTTGTTCCTACGCATCAACTTGATTTGACCTCTTCCAGCTATTTTCCAACATGGCACTCATTTATGCTGGCATTAAATCACAAGTATCCTCAAAGCTACATTAACACAGATGATCAAAAGGCGCTGGCCAAGCCTTTGTTGGTACATCAAACAGCATGAACATTGGAAAGCGAGCAATTCCCAAAAGGAGGTACACACACCAATTCCATTGTGTCATTATTAAGGTTAATATTTACTGTGCTACACCTTGGCTTGTTTCATTAATCCTGTAATCTGTGGACTACACACAGAGAAACACAGCATGTGAGCACAGGCGTGTATGCAAACAGATGATGAAAAGCATTCGCCTTCAGAGAAGTTCTTCCCTTTGTCTTCTTTTTGCAGGCAAACGCACACATCAAACTCGACCCAGTTAATCAAAGTGTGAATACACGGGGTGTCAGAGGGAAAGATTTGGGGGTGTACTTTTGTTCCGGCAGCCAGTGATCCTTTTCTTTCCACAGATCTGCACCACCACTAACTCAGCGGAGGAGAGAAGTGTTTTTGTGTCACCCGTACTGACACATACAGTAGGAGAGAGATACAATGTTTCAGAATAGCAATTGATGAAACTCCTATTCAAAAGAGGTAATCGTGTAGCCCTATTACAGATATCTGCATTGTCTCATGCTTCTGCCGATGATTACGCCGTACAGTGAATTGATACTGGCCAGAGTATTACCATCTCCTAATTGAGTTGATTTTACATCCGTCTCGTGTGTGTGAAAGCCAGCTAATTCCAGGCGCTCTTCATAACACAGAGCCAGTGATGCTCTGCCAGTTTATGGGATCGCTGTAAGGATATCCACAGAGCTTTATCCTCTTTCTCACGAGGACATAAACCCTCTTGATGTAAAATTATACCAACTTTGGTTGGGTCGGGATTGCATTACATCTCATTAAGATGTCAGCTTTTCAAGACTCGTAGTCTTTTCAGGCACGGAAGCCTTTTCGCAATTCACAAAATGTCACAAAAAGAGCCCTTGGAACAAGCAGAAAATGGCTCAAAAGCTTTGATTCCCTCTGACCTCGTTTCGCAATGCTGGACAGCGCTGGCTGGCTCGGCCTGTTTGTATCTGCTCCTTGGCTTGATTGATGCACCGGGGGACTCACACAGCTGGGAAGGAGGCAGTAAACCAGAGGAGGGAACAAAGAGTAGTGGGCCACACGGGGTGCAGCAATTAAGCTGTTTACTTGTTGTTAATTAAAAGCAAATTAGAGACTGCGACAGGAGTTGCTGTCTAGCCGTAATTGCTGGCAGCATGTATGCCCAGCCACACCTGTTGTTCCATCTTTAATCTTTTTTGTTTTCCCTCTTGTGTCTTCCTTAGGGACGGAGAGGAAAGAGTGGGGAACCTGGAGTCAGAGGCCTGCCTGTAGGTGTCATACAGTAACACAGACACACGTTCATACTTACTTTTTGATTTAGGAAAAGGAAAATCATGTTCTTTCTACATAACATACCTGTATTTTTTTGTATTTGTCAATCTTACTTTAAGGAAAAAGATGCAGTGATTGAAGTTGAAAAGTGATGACCTACTTAGCTTTAATCAGTCAGCACCTCTTCTAGCTTTTTCTACCATTCAAAAACCATTTCAATGTAACTTTATTAGACCCTGTATTCCTTTGAGATCACCAATGTCTACTTCAATGTATACCTGTCTCGAAACAGGCTCCCCAAATTGCAAGTTATCATGATTGCAAAAGCAGTCAATCATTACAACAGACATGCATTACAGAATCCAGCTTAAACAGGCAATTACACTCTTCATAGTCAAACTTGTCAGTAAAACTTTGGCCATTAATTCCATGCTAAGGCTGTATCGATCTCTTCAAACTCTTCCCACCCTGCTGCAAGCGGGCTGTTTTATTAGCATAAAACCACAAGGGGTGTATTCAGGTTAGCTCCTGCAATGCTTGTATTGATGAGTGAAGACCAGTCTGCCAATAAAGCCCCATTGACTTGTTGAATGATGGTGTTCCTCAGGTATCCAAACTAGTCCCAGACACTTTTGGTGTGTTTGTGTAGTGACCCACATGGCACAAGCATCACAATGTGTTAAAGGGGACAGCCTGTCAGACTCTTCACTGCTCTGGAGTCCGGACGAACAGGAGTGTTTAGGCATCATGTAGCTTAGGGTGTCCAATTATTTTTTATCGCCCTAATTACACTCTCGATCAGGACAAAGGGTTTATCTTGCTTTATTTTTCCCGGAAGTCCAGAAAGATTTTGTTCTTTTTTCTATCACCTTTATTCTCAAGGTTCAATTATCTTCAGTATAATACCGTGTTAAACCTTTCCTGCATGACTCAATGTATCTCCTGGGTCCTTAATAACTCATCAAACTGTAGGACGCAGAGTCATGGGACAAAAGAAAGACAGGATGGAGAAGGTGTGACATTTCTAAATGGCAATGTCCTGATGATACCCTTAGCATGTGCCGGCTTAGCATCCATCCCCTGGTATTGGCATTTATGAGTCACCTGTTTTGCTGAGTTGGATCTCAGGGGCGAAATCACCTATTCAAAACACACACCAGGGCATCACTGGGTCTTGTCTATTGGCAGCAGGACAGTGCTTGGTTATTTTTAAGTCAAATTAGCATTTGACGACAACAGGAGAGGCAGTGAAAGGCACGCAAGATGCGCTCAGAGATAATCTATAGACTGCTGGGGTCCGGTCACATACTTATGAGAGATAATTTTAGTGCAACGGTTGGAAACTATAATACTGTACACCTATAATCTGAATATGTTTAACTATACCTGCTAGTTTAAACCCTTCTGTATATATAAAGCTGACATTCAAAGTCTAAAACTGCCTCATTATTAAACATTTTTGCTATGTTAATATTCATTTTGTTTAAACCCGGTATGTCTAAACACTTGCAGATACAAATAAGGCAAAATGTCTTAATAATACTATGCTGTTTGAGTCAAAAGCCTATGAAAGTAAAATCTATTTTTTCAATGTGTTTTAGAGAGATGAAGACATATACCAACAGAAATTCAAAAGATCCTTTGAAAACCTCAATTAGAGAAAAAATTGGCATTCAATGCAGCCTTAGTTTAGGAAGAGGTGATGAAAGGCTTAGGGTGGTTTAAAAACAATTTAAAAAATGTGTATAAATACTGTTCACAAGTGTTGATTTAATCAGCTTGTGTTACATTCTCTTTATCCATTCTCCGTGCGTAAAGGAGTTTCATTTGCTTCTGATTGCAGGGTCCCCTAGGAACGCCGGAAGGAGCAAGTGTCAAGGTATCACTCACAACATTGTTCATCTTAAAACAAAGTGCTGACATGTGGCATTTAAAAAAGATGTGAGTCATCTCCCTGTTTGATAAACAGGGCCTCACCTGCACTTCCAGCCAGGGTGAATTGTCAAGATGACTGAGCAGTGTTTATTGTAGCGGTCCCCCAAATAGGCTAGGAGTTTAATCATCTGAGCTGTGTGTCGGTATAAAGACAGGCTGTGTGTAAGTAGTTGTCCCAGGAAACCGGGCCCGGACAAGTCGGACGTCTGTGTGACCAGACCCCTGTCCTTGACTGATGGTTTCTGTGTCAGTCAGGACACAGAAATAGCACCTTTCAGTCAATCGCAGTAATATCTACTGTGCAATTTGAATAGCTGTTCCCACCCCGCGCCTCCTGCAGCGCAGCACAGCATGACTCAGTGCTCATACTCCAAACAGACAGATGGCCATTACATACAGTGCTTTTGCAAAAAACAAAAAACGGGTTTGCAATAATTTTCATGAATCCCAGGGGTGCTGTAGCTCACCAGAGGCACATGAGATATGCGATGTAAAAAACTCCAAGACATGGACCTCTACCAGCCCTCCTACTGTCTTTGTTGCAACCCGCCACCCCCCCCCACCCCCTTAACACCCACCCACCAGGCCTCCAGTGGCCCACTTGTGATCATGCAGAGAGTGAAAGCTATTGTGTACTGGACAACCTCCTGACCGCAGCTGTTCATTTGATGTATAGGTGCGTTGTTTGCCGGTGTGTCAGCGCAGGCCACAGAATTCCTCCTGCTCCCTCTGCCCAGAGGAAGGAGAAGTGTCAGCTGGCCAACCTTGAGAAAGAAAGTTGTCTTTATGAGGACACATTTATTATACCTCAAAACAAATGGGATAGGAGTAGCTTAAGCATAGGCGATAGTGGGGATAGAGGATAGTGGTTTCATTTTGATGACAAATGACTCCGTGTTGCCATGCTCTATTAAGACAAGCTTAAGAATAAAATGACAAACAGAGGTTACCTTGATTAAGTTTTCATGAGCCTTCTGTAATTAGCTGCCGAGTTGCAGTTTATTATCGCACCTGAATCAGTTTCATATCATAAAATGAAGCCATAAAAGCCAAACCTTTACTCGGCAGAGGAGCAAGGAGCTCTGAGATTGGGGGTTCAGCATATTTCAAATTGACTTTACACTTTCATAGGCCTTTTATTAAATAAATGACAAAGGCAGTAAATAAAAGAACACGTAAAGGTAATTCCATGTAATAGCAACAAATATTGTTCAAGAGTGTGGGGGAAAGTTTACCAATTTTTAAGAAAGTAGACCTGTGAGCCCACTGTTACCTGCAACTTTAAAGCGATATCAGAACGAAGTTAGTAAAACATGCAGGTGGCAAAGCCTGCAGGAGACCAAAGCCACCACCCCATTGAGATTAGATTAAAGGTTTCATTATGATTAAATTACAAAATAAAAGTGTGCGTTGTCTCATGCTGATGTTACTGTATGTTTAAACACACCAACAAGATTGCTTACATTAATAGTGCATGCCAGCCTTGCCCTTGCCATGAATCAGTCATATCCTTACATCTTCCCTTTCATTCATGTTTAAGGTTAACGACAAGAAAACCTTTCAGAGTCCCAGGGTATGACTTTACATTGAAATCTGCTCATGCGAAACATACATAACTTTGCATTTAAAGGAACTTAAACAATCCAGCGAGGAATGGAAAGTAAGAGTTTCCAGGAGTAGAAATAATTCAGACATTCTTCCTTCTTTTGCATTTTTTAGTTTGGACAAAACAGACGCAAGTTAGAATAAACTGTGTAACATCTGTGTGAACCGAGCCCCCTCTCAGTCACTCAGCAGCGTGTGAATGTTTTAAAGAGAAAAACAAAAGATCCTCACTGTGCATGATGTGCCTGGAAGACTGCGCTCTCATGAATCACATCTCCATAACTGTATCTCCCACTGACAGGCTCAAACGGGCTCTGACAGCACACTGCAGATATTGATGGAGAGACGAGGTGGGATGCAGACAGGCCTAATTGCAGTTAGATGAGTCGAGGTGCCTCAAAGTCAACATATTACCCCACAGGTGGACCAGTTCCCTGTCCTAAGCACGCTGGGCTTTCTCGTTGTGTAAATACAGTGATAATCTGGATAAATACTCGCCGTGCTGCAGTTAATCTCATTTGAAAGGTTTATTAACTTGTCACATACCCCTCTGCTAATAAATTGACTTTGAATGATCTTCCTTGGAGATCTAACAATGATAACGACAGAAATGGTTTGCCGTGAGCCTATGCCAGAACACATGTTTACAACAAATCACATCACAGGCTAAGAATAATTGAGATTTACATTGAGTCATAAATCAGTGGGAAACCATTTTCTCTGCACAGTATAGCGTGTGTTTTACAGTTAATGTAAGGCAGATACTGCATTACATTACATTACATATTTCATTTAGTTGACGCTTTTAACCAAAGCGACTTACAATAAGTGCATTCGACCAAGAAGATACAAACTTGAAGAAAACAGAATCATATAAGTACATTAGGTGTCATAGAGCCAAACCATTTTAAGTGCTACTCAACTGGTTTGATAAGCCAGTCCTTTGTTATAAGTGCTTTGTTAGTATGTAAGTGCTTAGTTAGTATATAAGTGCTTTTTATTTAGTTTAGTTTTTAGTTTTCTGTTTTTCATTTTATTGCTCGAAGTGGAGTCGAAAGAGATGAGTTTTCAGTCTGCGCCGAAAGATGTGTAAGCTTTCTGCTGTCCTGATGTCAATGGGGAGCTCTTTCCACGCATTGTGAGCGGCTCTTGTTATGGAAAAGTTCTCTGACTGATAGCACGCCAACAATGATCTAATTGATAAGATTATGATAAGATTATGATGGTAAAACTACGAGTTCCCATGTGGTTGATAAAGCTGAACGGAATTCAATTAGTGCTCAAAGTCAATTTAGCCTATAGACTGTCTTCCCAGCCTAAAATATTAATAGGACAATCCATCTGTTCATACATGGCAGCATTGTACTGACTTAATAACGGCTCATAATTTGGACGAGGAAACAGTGACTATATCTCATTAAGTGAATGGTATCACAGCGGCTGCCGTTAGCAAGTGGAAGGCCTGTTGGGAGGGGCTGAGACTGGAAGGCAATTATTGTTTGTTAGAGTCCGGGTGCCGCTAAGGAGTGTGCAAATATGCTGCAACCTTTCTCAGATGTCTCTCTGTCTTCTCAGATTGCTAAACAGATGCTCCTTAATGTCGTCGTATCTAAAGTGTTCCCTCCAAATCTGCACGCATGTCATACAAAGGAACAATCCTCTTTGATGAACAAGCTATATTTCTGTTTGCTGATAGAAAAAGAATCCCCAAATTTCACAACAGATGAGCTTTAATCAGGCGTGTCCAGAGATGTGAAACAATGCATTTCAGCTACTCCAGATGCATTTGGTGAATTATATGCCACACATCTGCTGTGAAGGGGAAATATGGCTGGTAGAAAGATGTTGGGATATGCATCCTGTATGATGGATCTTCCGCTGTGTAGTTCTCCTGCGTGTATGTATGAAAAAAGGTTCCATCACAAATCTTTTTAATTAATCATTCACTGTGTGTCTTGGCCGAGGTGCAGGTACATTTGTTTTACAGTTATGTTTACTTAGAGCACTCTCCACATAACTGACAGGAAGAAATCCTATTAAAAACACTCTGAGGGAAGCTCGCCAGCAGTCATCAAGTGCCATCTATTGGCAGACAGGGGAATGACTTTAAAGTGGAAGCATGCTGCAATGCAACAGGGGCCTGTATTTATCATCGCCCTGCCACACTGTCAACACTATAATATTATAAAGTCACAGTTTCCCTTTCTCCTATCACGGTTACAGATGACACAATACTGTATTTCTTTCCAGATTACTCATTTATAAAGTTTGCCTTTGCCTAGGTTTCACTCTCTGAGCTTTTCTGTCTTTTTGCCCTGCCTTTACCGTCAGTCACTGTCAAAGATCTGCTCTCTGCACAAACAGGTGGAGGGGGCTGAGTCTGCAGTCCCGGGGGGGAAAGGGGAGAAAGGAGACCCTGTACGTATTTCCCTGCAGTGACATTTACAATGCTGTGATGTTACACACACTCATTAACCAAGGCCTTCTCCCACAGGGTCAGATAGATGCTCAGGGGGCCGGAGAGATGAAAGGACAAAAGGTAAGTCACGTCAATGTCACGTGTCATACACGATGCTGCCCACTGTTTGTGCTCCCTGAAACTCTGTGTGTGTGTGTGTGTGTGTGTGTGTGTGTGTGTGTGTGTGTGTGTGTGTGTGTGTGTGTGTGTGTGTGTGTGTGTGTGTGTGTGTGTGTGTGTGTGTGTGTGTGTGTGTGTGTGTGTGTGTGTGTGTGTGTGTGTGTGTGTGTGTGTGTGTGTGTGTGTGTGTGTGTGGGTCATGGCAGTGTAGATAAAAACAGAGAAAGAGGTGGTGGAGGTCCAAGTGATATAATTGGTATGATACACCGGACCTACGAGGTTAAACCTTTTCAGATAGTTATCATCTTTAAGTCAGCTTATTATCTAATGGTCTCCGAAGACATAATTATATAGTATACTTGCCGTTGAAGATGTGTGCCTATGTGTGGGTTTTTGCCGCTTTTTTTCAATGTAGATGTGTTTATATGTCAAGTATCACCATGAACAATTAGTTGAAAATGGTAAGATACAGGAACCATGCATCTTGGGTACATGTAAATGTTGTGCTAATAGGCCAAGTAGACCATGAGTTATACATGAAGATTCAGAGGTTCCTAATAATTCATGGTAAGGGCATACATGTACCACATTTCATAACACTCCTTCCAATATTTGTTGAGACATTGTCCTGAAAATCCAAATATGTCAATCTTGTGAAAGCGAAAGAAAAGTCAGGGGCTCACCAAAGTCAGGATTCATCCTCTGGGAACCATGAATGCCTGCCCCAAATGTCATGGAAATCCGTCATGATGTGATATTTCAGTCTGGACCCGAACGATTGGACCAAGCCACATCCCTAGAGCTTGGCATAAAATCCTTTTATGAGTTTATGATTGTTTAATTAAAGATTCAAATTACACCTTTGAATGATTGTGTGGGCCTGGCATGTTCCAGCATTTATTCTCTAAGTGCTTTTTAGTTGTTTATAGTACTGTATATGATCACAGCTGTTGTGCTGTGTTTCCGTGTTTCATTAAAAGCGCTAAAGTTATAGCTTGTAAATTATGAATGGAATAATGGAGGCTCCTAAATGCAATGCATCACAATTAAGGACCCTCCACGGTTCCCTGGAGCACCCGATAGGCCCATTAAAAAGAGTTCAACGCGGTTGCACTATATATACACACACAAACACTTATAAATGTATAAGTACATTTCACATGATGCACATGAAATGCTCTTTACTGAGAAATGTTTTCTTTCCACTCATCTAATGGCTCTTCTCACCTCAGTTAAGGTTTGGCAGTATTTTTCAAAAGTCTGTTCATGTTATTGCTTTCTTTATTGTTGCTCCAAAACCTATGGATGAAGGTTTTCGAGGTCACTTGTGGCATTTACAGTAGCTTTCAGAAGAAGTTTCTCAAGTTACATTTTTTCTTTTCTTTTTTGTCTTTCAGTCTCTTATACAGCATATGTACTGATTCATATTATTTTTCTGCTCTTTTTCAGGGTGAAGTTGGCCTTCCTGGTCCACCTGGTCCTGTAAGTACAATGTAAAACCCACCTTACAGAATATCATACATTGTCAGTTAGTATGACATGTTATGTATGTTTTGTCATAAGACACACCAAACTATGTTGCATGGCTGTCCCAAAAATAAATGTTGTAGTATTAGCGCTTTGTTCTCTGCAAATAAAAACAAGAAAAATGCATCTGTGCATCATGGTGTGTTTCACATTCTACCATTTGAAGGGGGAGCCAAAAGCAATAGCAGTGCTGTGTTTATGCTGTCACTCCTCACACCTGGAACCATGTCACCTTGTAACCAATTCCCATTATTTGACTAACCTGCAGATTTCCTCTCTATCTTGAATTGAGTTCTAAAAAATCCTATTTTCCCCCATCTTCAAAAACGGTGGATTGGTATTGATAAAATGCATGCAACATGGGCAGTTGTTTTAAGGCAGATGAGATTATAGTTGTGTTGAATTTCACCCAGGAAGAACTTCTTTTTAGCTAATGAACTGACTGATATGTTGGCAGCAAGCTCCCAGGGAGTCTATGCAACGCACACAGCAAAGAAACATAGCAACACCCATTCACTGAAAGCTGTGAACGATCATTTCCTTCTCCTATCTTGTATCAAATTAACACATTTGCACTAGCCATCGCCAACTGATATGCTAATCTTTCGCTTGAAAAAAAAACATCTTTATAGTGTGAATTAATGAGGGCCAGCAGGACATGACCTGTTTATAATGTCCATAATTGTAGATAGTAAAAGGATTCATCTTGGAAGTCACCAGTGCTGCTTTCAGTAGAGAAACACATACAAAAAGAAGCCCTGACGTCATGTTGTGTGTCTGATGCTGAAGGTGACACAGGGCGGGAGGTGCTGGGAAGATAAGAGTCATTGCTCAGACATTTTCAGCAAAAACACACTGTGACAAATCAGTGAAAGATCCGTGATGGTACACTTGCAACTATGACACCTTTTTAAAATAAAAAAGAAATTAAAGTATAATTAGTGTCAAATAAAAACATTTTGTTTGAGCTCACGTGTCACATAGTCAGGGGTTTGACATTTATATGACTCTGTCCTAATGGGTTTTTATTCTAAAGACTTCCTGCCTACTGAGCCTCCGAAGGCTTCACCCATGAGCTTGGAATCAAACTTTGATGGCTTTCATTCTTATTCTCATTCTCGTTGCTTGTTAGCAAGCGATTCATATGGAAATGTGACAACTTAATTATACTGCGAACAAATATCGCTCACCCTCCACTGGTTTCATTGGTTTCTGTCTACCAAACAAAAAGTATGCTCCCCTAATAAGAATAGATATCAACGTGGGCGGTTTTAATGGCTGTTCAAAAACATTGAGGTTTGTGCTTTGCAATTATTTTGGAATAGCCGTCTCTCTTTTTTCCCTAAATTTCACTTCAACTGGGGAAGCAAGATAAAGAAAAGTTCCATCAAAACGTAAATACTCAGTGGTGTTCATTGTTGTGCGGTGAGGTATGGACCACCCAGGGTATAGGAGATGTATACAGTACTATGGCAGAGGAGGAAACATTAGTCATTTGATTAATGAGGCTGTTTGAATATTTAGTACCAGTTTCTGTCTGTGCTCTCTGCTTCCCCGTGGCAGATAATTTTGGCAGTTAAGCATTGATTTCCCTTACACAGCAGAAGCGAGGGTTTGGATCATTACCCTCCCTTCATAAACCTTCTTGTGCCTCTGTTTATTAGTGACGGGGAGGAGCGGCGGGCTTACAGCCATGCACAGCCACCCCCTCCCCCAACGTCCTTAAAGTGGCAAAACGCTCTTTTCATCTCCGAGATTGTCCTGTGTTTATTGCTGCCAGTGTTGCTTTACAATATGTTTTATAATCTAGTAAAGTGAATCTGTTATTCCAAGTTATTTTGAGTAAAATGGTCAATGCATATTTCACTTCTCTGGCGAAAGGCTCTGGCAGAAGTGTCTTATCTGGTCTCATACTGATGGAACTGGGTTTAGAATCGGAGGCAAGAAGAAAATGTCAGCAGCTGTTTTTGTGAGTGACTGCAGGTTGAAGGTTGAGTGATAATGCAGTCAGTCTGCTGGGGCACTCGGGGATTCTGGACCTTACTGAAGGTTATTTTGACTATTGCTGCGGAAGAAGGGCTTCGTGTCAAGTTTATTTGTGTAGCTCTTAATCACAGTAACACTCTCAAAGGGCTCACTGGCACACATTAGTCCTAAAACAAGGGCACCAGCACAGATGGACAAACATGCCACGAGGGCACCAAGATGTGTCTGGAGAAGAAGCTTGGCGTTCAAAACGTGATTGGTGTGATTAATTAAATATATTTTCAATGGAGCATTATCCAGCATGCAGACTCTATTTTTCCAGCACCAACATTTGGATGTATTTCAGTATGATCATTGCTTCTCTCACTTCTTTTATCATTATGCCTAAACCACCCAAGACTGAACTGGTTATAACTGCACATGGGGGTGAAACATGTGTTTAACCAAACACAAAGGGCCTGAGGAGATTTAGATGTAAATGAGTTCTGATAATTATAGATTGTAATGAAGATGGATAATTAGATTTGCTCTCTAAATTGCTTTGCTCAGTTTTTTTAATACAATGGACTTCAATCACTGGCCTCACATTTGAAACCTTTTGTGCAGTTTACACCAACATTTCAGTATCCATCAAACCCAGATTGTATCTAGAGGTGTCTGTGCCACCTGCTAGTAACATATTTCCATTGTGAACAGTTTAACTGTAACAAACTCTTTTCTCAGCACTATTCCACCACTTCCTGGTGTGGGCGTGCTTTAAAAAAAGAGCCGTTTAGAGACAACTTCCTTTTTCAATTTTGTGGACAAGAACACTAGATAGCAGAAATGCAATTGTGTCCAGTGTGGTCAGTATTTTGCCATTGAACAGAAATGAGTCCTCAGTGAGACCTGGATGTTTTTACACCTGGAATATAATTTGATCAAGATTAGAATATATTCTGATCTGCTGTGAAATTAACACTAGGACTCGGAATTTCATATTAATCACTATACAGAATGATATAAGGGTAAAGAGGTTTTGTCGAAAAACTTAGAATCCTAGTTATTGCCTCTTTTGTTTTGGATTACATTTAGAAATGGCTCCTATTCACATGTTATAGTACTAGGTGTCAGTCTGCCTCAGCTGGTACCTCTTGACCTTTTACCGTTCCAATGCATTTCATTTTGTTATAATAGTCTCTTTCCCTTGGCTTTAGATTCCACATTCTTAGTCTATCTATCGATGTATTATACATTTGCAATCACTTATTACTTTGATTGATTTTTATTGAGTATTTTGACAAGAAATCAACAGCTTTTACTTGAATGGAGATCGGTGGATCACAGTTTAGGTAACGCTGTGTCTTTTTCATTACTTCTAGGTGATGACAGCTCACGGATTAAGACTGCTCTCTGCAACTGTGAGCAGCTTTTTGTATCAGAACACATGTTGGTTTTTCCCTGCGGTCCCTCTACAGTCAGATTCTGAAGTGGTTTGTTTTTTCTTTTTTTTAGGATGAAATGAAGGAGGTGAAGACCCAAGGAGAAAAGGGAGATCAGGTAAATATATCCCTCTTTGATATTTTCTATAAAACTGAATCATACAAATCTCATTATAGAGTTTCATTGTATCCAACATGTTGTGATAAGATGTGTATTGAGATTTTTAAACATGTTTATAGATTAACACCAACAAAGGGCTGCTGTCAGGCAAACCAGCCATACTCATATTTCAATTAAGAATCATCATTTCACAACAAAACAAATTAAGAACATGGTACATCGTTTTTCACAACCTCTTATAGACATGACGAGATAGAGTTCCAAAATCTAAATCCATATGCAAAGATCTGCCTGAAACTCCCTATATGTCAAAGTGTCTAGCTTTCATCCGAAATAATTGACATGTTAGCAGAACCGAAAGACAAATATATATACGCTGATGATTCAGGTGTCTTGAAGAAAGTGATATATATTGAACTTATACCTATGTTATTTATTGACAAATCGTTGTATTCATTGTATCCAACATTTGACACCACAGTAGATGCTTTTTCCCAGTTTATTTTATTATATCAACAAAAGAAGTTGACATTTCATTTTGAAAGAACAATTGAACATCACCTGCTGTGCAGATGAGTTCAACGCCGTCTTTGTGTTGCGCATAGGCGGAGTACAGAATAAATTGGCATACAATTGTTGCTTAGACTTCAAAACAACAAATGCATCTACTTAAATCATGCGGATTACAAAGGCCACTGATTCAGCTATCGACCAAACAACATAAGGCTCCTTGCATAGAAAGAGTCCTTGAATAGAAAGAACAAATAGATATTACAATTTGCAAATGATTGAAGAATTACTTAATTTTAGATAAAAAAGCAAAAACTCATGTTTACCATGTAAGTGGTGCAGTATAAAGGAAAAAGCACAATAATGCTCTATCTTAGCGGTAATTAAAAAAGTTACTGCTTTCATTGTATTCACATTCTTAGAACAAAGAAGCAAACTTAACAAAGGAAAAATACTTTTCTCCACCTTCACACAATATAAAAGATAACTTCATGAAGGTCCTTTTTTCTTTTTGCCTTACCCCAGCGAGCAAAATGAAAGACTTACTTGACAATTTTCTGTTTGCACATCTTGAGAAATGATGGTTGTCTATCTCCTTTACTTTCTACAGGGGGAGAGAGGAGCTCAAGGGCCGCAAGGCTTCAAGGTAACTTGTTGAAGACTTAGAGCTTTCACTAGAACTTGAGAATCAACACCCACCTCCAATAGAATAAGGCAGAGAAGTCCTTTAAGTCCATTGAGTATCACTGTCTGGTTCCCTCCGCGGTGTCACAACAGTGGACGTCTTTGAGGAGTTTATATATTGTTGATCTTTTTTATTGCAGAAAATATTATTTCTTGGACATACAGTCAGCCCTGAGCTCGACAACAGCACAACACACCAGAGATAATATATATATATCCATGTTGTTGCTTTTGAACACCTGTCAGAAAGACTAGCATTTGTAGCGACACACCACAGTAATTATCTTCCACTTGCGACTGAAGTGGACCTTTACTCCTTCTTGTTGACCTGTATGCCTCACCAAACTTTTGTATCTGGAATTCAGATATTTTACTGTGACAGACCTAATGTTTTTTCTCCTCCATTGTACCGCCCTTCCCTATAACTGGATCTCACTCCCACTTTGTTGTTCCTGTGACAGGGAAACGTCGGTCCACCGGGACTAAAAGGAGATCAGGGGCCAGAGGTGAGACTTTGTATTTATCTCAATGTCGGCTGTGCCACTTACAGTAGGTCGGATGGAGAAGAATAGAAATCCTGCTGAACATAAACAACAGTGAGATGAGGGCACCCTAAGTGGAGGTCATAAATAGAACTGGGGGGAAATGTAAATATCCCATGTATCCTTTTTTTGCCCTCGTTTGTCCAAGATAATGGGATATGCGCGAGTGTAAAATTAAGATGAATGCAAACAAATGAGTATATATTACATTTTTAACAACGCTTAGTTTCCACAAGTAGTACACCAACTCATCAAAATACATCAAATGAAGAACTTTTTCAATTAAGGACTCTAGAATTTGCTTTGAACATAATAATGCAAATATCTTTCTTATCTAAATCATCAAAAGCTAGGCATAGAAAGCTGCCTGGTACAGATTCTTGTGTTCCCTCTAACTCAGTTATTATTGTTCAACATAAGCTCAGTTACCATGGTAATATGTGACTTTTTCAGTTCGTTAAGAGATAATGAGTTGTAAAGGCGATTGCCCATAAAAAGCTTATCTGTATAAGCATAACGGGGTATAAGCGTGTATTTCAAAACACATGTGAGAAAACCTACCGCCGCCCAGTAATGACGATATCCTCTGCATACAGCACAGTAATTGCCATGAAACTTTCCATGGTTTATTAAAAAGGTGGCATGGAGGACACTTAAACAACACTGCTTATTAAAATACTCTCGAAAGTCGTGTCCACAGTGTAGCTCACTGGGATGTAACATCTGAGAGGCCAGGCACTTTTCTCAAGTATTGGTTTTCCTCTGTGTTTTGCCAGGGCAAGCAAGGCCTGTCTGGACTCCCAGGACTCCCGGGCGAGGCAGTAAGTATATTGGCTCTCGACACACCGAGCACTTCGTGTCAACCTTTTCTTTCTTTCATTGCCTTATCCGTCACCTTGCCATATCCTCTTCTCTCTAACTCAGCCTGCCAAAGTGAAAGATAGAGATAAGCAGATAACCCTCAACAGGTAGAGACAGAGAGGAAGTCGGGACAGAAGTCCAGCATTTTTACACAGACGATCAGTAATCAAATTTAAGAATTAATTAGTGGAAAGAGGCAAATCTAACTGCTTTATGCCAGGAACGGAGGCAGAGGCTCAATCTGTTCTCCACACCTGCTTCCATAATGAGCATCTGTTTTTACTCAAAAGCAGGGAGGGAAAAGAGGCATTTCATAAATCCTGGCTAAGGGAAATGATGTTGGAACACGGCAGCCCGCTGAAGCAGTGAGGAGGAGGAGATAAATGTGTGAGAGTAGATGAAGGCCTGGTGATAGATGTGTCTCTTTTCCCCACTATTTACAGGGCTCGCTAGGGGAGTCCGGGGTGTCTGGTAAAGATGGCCTGAAAGGAGAAAAGGTAGGTAAACTTCAAATCAAGTTCCCCCCTTGAAAAGAAAAATATGAAGCTAAGATCCTTTATCACAGGGTGAGCATGTGAGACAACGTTTGAATACACCTTTCAAATGACTTGCCACGCCTGCCATTCTCAATCATGTAACTTTTGGCAACTAATGCCTCAAACTACTGTTTATTATTTATAATATTATGTACATACATTAATTATTTCAGTAAGATGTGTTTAAAATACTATGCTGATAGAGAAAAAGTGTGCAATTGACATGCATATGGGGTTTGTCACTTGTCAAAATAAAACTCCCCAACCACTGGAGTCACTCTGGTTCACTCTAGGGCAGAGACATGAATCCTGTGCTTCACCCTCCGACAGTAATTCACATCCTCTGTGCCATCTCTGCTGTAGTGAACATTCATGCGGTAGTCTATAAATAAATGTGGAAAAGCAAACAATGTCTGTACGCTAAATATGAAGCTGGAGCCAGGAGACCATAACTTAGCCTGAAAGCATAACAGAAATATGTCTAACAGGCTTTGTTCTTCTCTTAGGCACAGTGGTGTTTTAAACTCAATGCTAATGGCAGCATGCTAACATGCTTACAGTGACAATAAATAAAAAACAATGTTTACCAAGTTCACTGTTGTAGTTTAGTACAGCTGAGGCTGATGGGAATGCCTTCAGCTGTTCTAGCAGTTTATTGGTAGTATTGAAGTATTGGGCAAGTTGACATTTTGACCTCATTGCTGCTAAAGAAAAAGTCAAAGAATTCCTCCTCAGGGGGACTTTAAATATTTATACAAAATGTATGGCAATCCATTTAAGACTAGACCAGAATTGGATGAACAACTGACTGCTAACATTGCTAAAAGACAAAACACTAAGGCATTAGTGGTAATATTTCAAGTTCATTCTTTGAGGCGGGAAACAGAAAGCAGACGTTGCTAATTTGGTCTTGTGGACAGCAATTTCTACTCTACGAACTTGATGGTTTTGTTAGGCTCCATGCAGTGCCAAACGCTGTCCCCTCTAACAAACAGTGATAATGTATCCATTCATGTGCGACATCATTCTGCTAAATGGCGTGTTCCATGGCTACACCCACCAGACTCTTCATTGTTCAGCTCCCTGTGTGTAATTCAGAATATGCTTAGCTCAACACTGTCTTTCTGTTTGTAGGGGGACTCTGGTGCAGTGACGGGGCTTCCAGGCCCTAAGGGGGAGCCTGGAGGAGGATATATGGTGGGTACCATATCAAGTTTAAAAAACTGACTGTCTTCTGACCTTGTTGCGTTCAGCCTTCGAGTCTCAGGAGGCAAAAGTGTAAAACCGTAAAACAACAATCCAACAGAAATTCACAAAACAAAGATAATTTGCAAACAGCTAGACATTAGCAGACATAGTAGAATAAACTAGCTCCTCTAGCTGTATAGCTGCTATGACATTAGGGAGATGCAATGCCATTAGGTAATCCACCACCGGATAACCCCAGCCTGGGTAATCACCTATCCTCCCACTTTGGAGCTTATTGCTGTTGAAGCACTCTCTTTTATGGACACGGCTTTGCATATTGAAATGTTCATTATAACGTCCCCAAAACCCCAGCGTCAGTCCTAGTTGAGTACGCTTGCACTCTTCAATCACTGGCAAGTGCTCTATGGCTTTAAACAATCATATTTGTTTGTGTGTGGAAACGCTGAAGAGAACATTAAGCCTGACAGAGGTACTCATCAAGCAAGGGCTAGTGAGTTCTATTGAGCGGAGTAATAAGGGAAAGATGCGTTCAGACAGAAGTATTCAAACCTCTTTAATGTAATCCAGCACTGTGAAAATTGGAGCTGGATTGGAGAAGAGGGCAATAATATGTGTGAAGGTTCAAGGAGGACATTTTTACAGCATGCCAATGACCTCCTATCGTTTAGTAGTTCAAAAACTGAACAAATACAACAGTTTATCGTTTAAAACTGACTTCCTGGGCAGATGGGATTCTTAACATTTTATGGTCTTTGTATATAAGACAAAGCAAATAGAAAAAAAGCAATAAACACTTGTCATTGCTGATGGTCTGGGGTACTTTAATGAGTCACCCCGCTCAAGAAGGTAACATCACTTTAATGAATTTGCCTTCAAATGAACAATGAGCAATTTGGTTTTGTTGTGACTTTTATTATTTGCATACATTAGCAATCTTCCTCTATTCTGAAGTTGTGATATAAAGGCTTTGTTTCAGTGCAGTGTAAGTGCATAATGTCTAGTGGAACTGGAACAAAGAGAAAATGCAGTCTTAAGATCATAGTATCAGTCTCAAAAAGTTCTCCACTTCCCAAACTTTCTGAAGGAATTGGTACATTTCACCCTGAAACTGGAGAACTGCTGTGCTAGTTCCAACTTCTCCACGGCTAATTTACATTGTGCAATGTAGGACTTGTAACACTAATACATGCTGACCACAGAAATCAATGTCTCATCCGAACTGTATACAGTAAATAATGCTTACAGTAGCCCTGATTCCAATCAAGGTTTTTCTCTGTGGTATAGCATTATCAGTTTGGCTCTGTAAACAGAAACGATGTGTGGTAAACAGCAGAACATGAGCTCATAATGCGACGCTGTGTTCAGACTGCTCACAGTGTGGAGCGTAGCCCTCGTACAGATTTCATATTACTGTTTAAACTCACTCACAGCACTGGAGCAGCTTTTTTTGGGTTGCACCTCGGGTCTCAAAGTGAATAGCTGATGAAGGTGCAGTGAATATCTATTCAGATGTCTTCTTCCTGTTGTTTTTCAGGGCGATGGGTTGTCTCTAAGCAGAGGGTCTCGCGGGCCCAAGGTAGGAAGCACTTTGGTGGTGAAGCATCACTAACACTACCTAAATCTTAACTGCTAACAATGTTAACTTCTGCAGATAGTAAGATAGAGGTCAAATACTAACATGTTCAGGTACAGTTAATGTCAGTGGTTTATTGTCAGACTCTACCCAACAGCCTTTTCAAATATACTCAAGCACTACTTCAAGGACACCATATATCATCTTCCTCGGAATTTATTTTAAATTGGATGTTTTTTCAAGTTAGTCTCAACTTTCATTTAAAAGTACACTTTTCTCATTTTTAACCCGCTTTGTTGGTAAGAAGAACACATAAATGATGTTTGGCCTCCCTTGCCAGTAAAGGTCTGCTGGATGACACAAAAATATCACAGGCATTTTAAATCCGGAACTCCGGGTGCTGGTTACATAAATGGGAGCCGAACATTGTTCAGTTGCACATGTGTCGACTAGTTGAAGCTGGTTGAAAATTGAAATATGTTTAATTTAAAATGGCCTCATGGTCTCACTTTCCAAAGCCCAAAGAGGGGACAGAATGGTGATAAAGCCTTTCGCCCACAGATAAAACACCTTGCATTTTCAAAATTACAAACAAGGTGTCTGTGGTGATAATCCCAGAAAATCTCTCTCTTGGATCTCTGGGAAGTGACACCTATAAACACAGCTACAGTTACTGCTTATCGCCATTATGTGCTGTAGGAAACAAAACAGAGATCTACGAGATTATAACTAACTCTATTAATTTGATAAAAGCTGAGATTTTTAGCCTACAGTAATGTTTCATTGACTTTGTATTTGTCAATGTTTAGGTAGTTTGGTGGTGATCGCTTTTGTCCCATCACACAAGGTGGTTGAACTGGGTGTTTTAACCATTTATCCATTACTTTTAGCATTTATGTTCACTGTTTATCTATTACTTTCATCTAAATATTTAGGTCTCAACTACAATTAGTTTTCACAAAACCAAAAAGTCAACGTACTTTATTTACTATATATTTACTGTTATATTTGTAAAGATCTCAAACTTTTTTGATGATATCATATTGAGTTTTCAAGAAGGTTTGTAAAATAATGTACTCAAGAGATCCTAAGTATCAAATACATGTAAACATACTGTGTATCCCAAGACACAGAGAAGTCTTATACATAATTAACATGATCATGTCATGGCCTTGGATACCGTCATGTTTCTTTCTGTTGAAGATACTGAAGGCGAAACATTAATGGATATGACTTCTGACAGAGTTTGAATAGTTTATGATCATGCAGCGCTGCAGCTCTCCATGACTTCTGGATTCTTTATCACTGTCTGCTCCCTTTTATTTGTCTCAGGGTGAGAGAGGTGTCCCAGGATTGTCCGGAGAACATGGAGACAAAGGCGAACCTGGAGCGACTATCATAGGTTCACCTGTGAGTATGATGCCGTCTGACCTGTCTCCCACATTCAGCACAGTTCAAGCTATCTTACCTTGAGATTCTCAGACATTTACTGAGAGAGATCGTTTTTGTATACCAAGATCAATGTTCATTAAATACAGTCTGAGATGAAAACTCTGGTCAATACTGGGAGGTAGAGCCGTGTTGCCCTCTGCTTTCGTCATATGTTCTCTGCACCGTTAGTTTGAACCTCACATAGGTTTGATTGTGAGTGAGTCTGCTTTCATTTTTGGAATGAAGGATTGTATGAGACAGAGAATCAATAGAGCAAAAGGTGTCCAACACAATTCCTTTATTGGATCCTGAGTGCTACAGGGCAGATAGTGTTAACAAGATGTGTGATGTGTTCTTAGGGCCGCATGGGATCTTCTGGAAAGCCGGGAATTGAGGTATGTGGAAAACTCTGTGAATCCACAACACAAACAATATGATTTTCAGCTTGTTAATGCTGTGGCGCCTGCAGAGTTTCAATTATTGTACAATACACATAACACTGCACTGGTTATAGTTGTTATCTGGTTCTATAAAGCAAGATTGACAATGTCTGGGGTTTTTCTCAGGGGCTTCATGGACTCCCAGGTTTATCTGGCCCTCCTGGAGTTTCAGGTAGAGAGGTAAGTGGGATCAGTCAGTCCTTCCACTCTTATTCACCCCCCTCACATATGAGCAGATAAAAGTTATGTCAGCTACCACTGTGGAAGAACACGTGTGATGTATCACAGCTCCAGGACACAAATCCCCACCAACTGAGACGGGAGCAGAGCTACAGCTGTGCGTGTGCACTTGATGTCATAGCTAGGAGGATTGTTGACTCCTTTCTTTGTCTCAATTAAAGGGCTCCCCTGGTAGGCCAGGCCCCCCCGGCCCTGCTGGACCCCCAGGTGAACCAGTAAGTGAAAAAAAAAATCTCCTTCTGCAGCATCAGTGATCTGCAGTGAGAACTACTGAGCTACAATTCAAAGTCACTATTCACAATGCAGCTCCAGTTTGAAGATAATTAGCAGCTCATCCTGCTGTTCACTATCCAACATCAGTCTCAAGAAAATGATGCAGTTTACGACAAATTGGCAGCCCCCTGTTGTTAGCACATGTTCTCATCTCTTTCTCGCCTTTTTATGTTTCAAGTAAGCAACAATAACCATATATCTGAAAGCTGGAGTAGGATTTCAAAAGGAGTGTTTTGCTGCTGCTTCAAAGCCTTGTAATTTTAGTATTTTAACCAATTTAAATTCATCCACCGTAAACACCCATGACACCCATTTATTGTCCGCTTACTTTTTTTCAAAAATACACTGGCTGCAAATCAAAATGCTTTTCTCAGCTCCAGAGGACAACAATATTTTTGAAAACATCTTCCAGCTATAAAATGATTAAACTGTTTCCTCAAGCGTTGCAGATAAAAAATGAAAATGACAAACTGAAACAGGACTTTGTTAAAAAGATTCTGTGGCAAAGTGACATTCCTTAAAGGCATTTAAGATGCTCTAATAGATTGACGTTTTGACCAATTTGGTAGATGCAGTTCCACCAAACAAACAGCTGAATTATTTTCTGACTGTGACAATGTTTCATGCATTTATTTTCTCCTTCTTTATTTGACAGATTGCCCTGCCAATTGTTGGAGACATGGGAGCATTACTCAAGGTAATTTACCCTAATAGTTATTGATAATTACAGCTTTTCATAACCAACCACATGCTTACACTGGCCTGGTTTAGTTGTTTTAAAATCAAAATGTTTCATTATTTGAAATAGTACTATAGGAATTGATGCTGTCATTTAAGAGAGATAGTAAAAGACCTCGAGTGCCTCCATCAGGATGACTGGGAGAAGTATGAAAAATAACAGGCATTCACCACAGGTGCGCATACAGTGTGACATCTTGATAATAAAGTCAGTTAAATAATGTAAACATTGCATGCAAAACACTTTAATACAGAGATGGCTTTATCAGAATGATGTTAAACTGCTCTGCAGTTATGCAAATATACTATAGTTAGATATGCAGAGACAATGCTTATGTGGCAATTTTCCTCCTACCATATGAAGAGTGATAAGGGATTGCATATTAGTTCATTTCACAGCCATCATGCCGAGTGAAAAAAAGATTACAGTATGTGATAAATTGGTGTTAATTATAAAATGTGTTTCTTTGCGTGAGGATCTGCATGCACAAAAACCTAAATACATAATTTAGGAGAAGAAAACTGCACAATGATAATAGTGCACTAATCAGAGTTAATGGGGGAGCACTAACTACATGTCCGATTTTAAAACTGTTCCATATACATTTAAACTGTTCCATATACAGTATAACCCTAACCAATGCAGATAAAAACACAAATGCTAAATCATCTGTGTGTCCATTGCTCTGTGGCAGCATACTTTTCATTAAATTCATAATAATGCTAATAGTGATTGTTTTTGTGAAGGCAATCAACAAACAAAGATGGCTTAACAAATGTGAAAAAATAATCTGCAATCTGGCAGCACACTATGGCCTCTTAAGTATTAGTTTATAGAGAGTAACCACGATGAAAGCTGATACTCAACACTGTTTGAAATACCCTTTTCTATGTATATCAGATTCAATCCAAAACCCAAATAAGCTCTTGAGAATTGCTCTCACTTCTCTTACTTCTAAAACGCTATAATTTAATTTCCTCCAGTAGATTTCCCTTGTCGCTTCAACCTTCACCTCCAATTATGAAACGTTAAAGCATTTTGTAAGAAACCTACACATGCTTACCAAAGATCTGAAAGAAACCATGTTCCAAACCACCAGACTTGGAGCTTATATCTTCGTTTCTCACTTTGAAAGGCTATTACCCCTTAATTTTTCTCATCAATCACTGACCAAATCCAGAATTTGCACGGGGACTGCAAGGCCAAACGTAATGCGAAACACTTTTCAGCCTTCGGTTTTTATTACCTGAGATTCTTCAGTAGTTGTTACTTTTCATGATGGCCATTTAGCAACAAAATCAAAAAATGTGTTCTTTCTATTCTATTTGAAAAGAGCAGGTAAGTCACTTGGACTCATCATGTGACCTGAAGGACAGAACTTTTCAGTTTTTAATATTTAATGCAAATCAACATAATTATATTTAATAACTCATTATAGAAAGAATCAAACGCCAACCTCACAATCCATTGCTTTTCAGTACTTTGTTGATTGCCTTCTTTCAAATTGCTTAATAGCAATCTCATAAGTGATTTTAGCACCTTGTTGAGACATAAATGAACATTTTCTACTATATTTTTATATTTAGTAATAACATGGTGTCCTTATTTGTTTTATTGGTTTTATTGAGCATTTTCTTGTACTCTTGGAGGTTAATGAAATGACAAGCTTATACAGATTATCTCCCATTTTACATTTCACACTCAGCTTCTTTTTAAAGCAGCATTTTAATGGTGCACTGAACCTGTTTCTGCTGCCTCCCTCCAGTTTAGAGCTCATTGCTTTTTCCTGGAATTCCAGTGCCTATATCTAGACTGGATTAGGGACAATGATATTTAAGATTCTCACCTAAATGTCACAGTCAATGAGTTTGACAAAGTTCACCCCTCACCGAGACGAGAGACACTCTAGGTGGGTTCACATTATCCTGCTCGGCAGACATTTAGAGAACGCTTTGTGTCAGTCGGGGTCTTGTCCTCCACCCAGGGGATGTGACAAAATAAAGGGCGAAAATGCAGCTTTACCTGATGAAATCTTATCTGTGCCACCACTCTTTGCTTCCTGCTTTGCCTCCGATGGCAGAATGCCTGCAGTGTGTGCCAGACGAGAGTCCCAGGGCTTCCTGGGCAGAAGGGAGAGAAGGGGTCCAACGGAGCGCATGGAGTAGAAGGCTTGGTGGGAGAAAAGGTAAAAGTAACTCATCAGCATGGCAGGCGATCGAGAACAGATGCTGTACATGTTAATCTGACCGCCGTACTGTGCAACATGACACTTGTTAAATGTACTCTCGGGGATGCTTATTGAATAATTTAAGAGCATGTGTGCTTACACCCATATTAATTGTGTCTGTCTATCTGTAACAGGGGGATCCTGGTGTAAGAGGTCCCATGGGTAACCCTGGGAAAGAAGGCCCAAAGGTAGGCGAGGCAATCAGATATGAAGACACTCAGAAGATATCAAAGAACTTTTTTTTAAAGTAATTGTTTGTGCGGATCTAAATGAATTATTCAGTTTCTCCACATGGCAAACAAATCTGTAACACTAATTGCCTCATTATATGATTTTGTTTACGGAATTGTGCGTAAATCTAATCTATAGAGATTTACATTGACATACGTTTTTCATGAATCACCTCTTAGAATAACTCAGGGAGCATAACCAGCTGTTCTTAAACCTGTATTATTCTGTATGTGCCTCGCTGCAGAAGTTGTTGCTATGGATACAATGTTCTACCATGGTGAAACCGGCTAGGCAATTTTCAAGGGGAAAATACATTTTGAAGTTTACACCCATCAGCCTTTAGTTTTAGGCCTTTTTTATTTTTGGTAAAAAGCTTGTCTTCCTCTCTCATTGGTTGTGACTGCCTGCAGGGAGTGAAAGGAGAGAGAGGGTTCGCAGGCCCCACCGGAGATAAAGGTGATGAGGTAAGTGAAAAAAGTTTGAGCAAACCAAATGGATCCGGTAGTTTTATAACAAGCCAGAAGTAACTGTGACATTGAGAGTTCGGTTTTTCAAAAGAATGTAAATGCATTGTAATGTCTGCCTCCTCTTAAAGCCCGTCTACTCTGAAAGTGTGTTTTCAAAAGACGCTACCAAAAGCTCTGCTCAGTGCTGCGTGTGCACTCTGCCCTATCTCTTGCACTCCAAGGAGCTACTTTATAAAGAACGCAGCCTGCCCCCGTGTGTGTGTGTGTTTGTGTGTGTTAATTAAAAAACAAGGCACTCTTAAGAGGAGTTGAGCTTAAGAGAAGCATTACATAGGTCAACGTTCAGCATTGAACTGCGATGGTAGGAGATTCTCAACACCAGAGTTGTTTATAGATTTTATAGGCTCAATAAAAACATGGCCGTGTTGAAGTTTGTTTTATATTTGCTATCATAAAATAAATAATTGATAGAAACATGTGCATTGTCATTATATATGATATATCTATACAAATGCATAGAGGTTGTGCTGTAGTCAATGGAACATTTCACAGCCTCTGCATATCAAAAGGTGCTATAAAGATAAGATGTGAGCATAGTCCCAGTAGTCATTGCAGTGAATAGAAAAATGTTTTCATTCATTCTCCAAAGTATACTTGCATGCTCTATGTTCCGTATTATTATCTGCATCTTGGGGTAAATGTTGAGAAGATGTGTGTGTGTGTGTGTGTGTGTGTGTGTGTGTGTGTGTGTGTGTGTGTGTGTGTGTGTGTGTGTGTGTGTGTGTGTGTGTGTGTGTGTGTGTGTGTGTGTGTGTGTGTGTGTGTGTGTGTGTGTGTGTGTGTGTGTGTGTGTGTGTGTGTGTGTGTGTGTGTGTGTGTGTGTGTGTGTGTGTGTGTGTGTGTGTGTGTGTGTGTGTGTGTGTGTTCTTTCTATTCTTCACTCAACGTCTAACAGTCATCCATAGAATAATTAGGTATCATTTTAAAACCAGAACATCTGTAGTTTTATTCAATATCAGATGATCCACTTAAGGTAGGCATGATGAATAAATCCCCATTTGTGTCATTGACTTTAAATGAGCCGGCAGGAACAATTGAGTGGGATTCAACTCTTCTATTTTAGGAAGATAGTGATACACCAGGCGAAGATCTGCCTCTTTACTTTTCTAGTTTCATCTGATTATTGTTGCTCATTGATTCCTAGAAAGCTGTTCCAGGCATCAACACATTACGACCATGAAATAACATTTTACTCCTTAAGTTTAGTTTAGTCTGTTGTGAAAAAGCAATAATACTGCTGGGCCAAGTGCCCACATCACCTATTGCCCTATATATGGAAGTATTATAATGTTGATCCACGTTGTGTCCTACAGGGGCTTTCAGGAGCTCCAGGACTTCCTGGAGTGACCGGTCGAACAGGGTCTCAGGTAAGAAGCCTTTCCTTTATGTGTACACAATATCGATTCCATTATTTCATGACACAAAGTACTTATTTATAGTTAAAAGTTTTTATCTCGACATGTGTAAGTCCTTTTCTCTGCAGTTAACTTTCAACACAGGATGCTGTTCTGTTTGCAGGGGCTTATGGGTAGACCTGGGCCATTGGGGCCACACGGTGGAAAAGGAGAAAGAGTAAGTTGTTTTACTGTTTAAGCATCAAATGTGTACACTATACTATACTATATGTTTGCCAGTTTGCATGCAAAATATTCAGATATGATTAGGTACATTCTTTTTTTGTTGCTTTTCCATTAAAATGCATCCGTCATACATGTTAAAGATTGATTGGCAAAATGACTATAGGAATTTCTGTAATAAGGATGAAAAAGAAAAAGATTCTTTAAATGACTTAATAATTCAGGGATTATTTTTTGCTAAATTCGTTTTGTGTGTTTTTTACTCAGGGTTGGCTTATGAGATTCCATATCAATGGATTCTGTTAGAATGGGACTGGACTTGATAAATATTTCCATTTCCATATGTACATATTTAACAATTCCTCTGTTATTTGACAGGGAAATGACGGAGGCCAGGGCATGCCAGGGCTTCCAGGGCCACCGGTAAGTTCCTCCATCCTAATGAAGAGTTAGACGGTAATAACAAGTCTCAAGAACTCCATAAAGGTCATAGATTCTATTTCACATTACATGTACGTGTAAATAAATGTGATAGTTTTTTTGTTGCACAAACTATCCTTCTAGCCTTACTATTCCGTTGGCACATTGAACACATTTAATCATCTTGCTTTTCTCAGCACTATCCAAACCCATGATTAAGTAACGGTTGGAGCCAAAGCATTGCCTTGGCATCTCTTCCTACAGAAATGGCCATCAGTGCAGTTATATTTTTGCTCAGTACAACAGTATTTACTGTACTAAGGAAAACATAACTGACAAACAAGCACAACTTGAGGAAATTGTAGGGACCTGCTCACTGGCATAGAATCATGCTTGTACCCTTTAAAAGGCCAGTGTGTAAGCACTTTCAAAGGCAGATCTATAATTCATCAGCCGTCCCCTTGAACCTGCGGTGCCCCCCCCCCCCCCCCCCCCACACCCTGGTCTCATAAACTGCTCTCTGGGAGGACAGGGGATGGCTCAGTGGCCTGAAAAGGGCATAGGCATCCGCTTGCTTCCAAATGAGAACCTTGACTCCTTCTACTATAGCTGTCCTCTACCAATCTATCATGGGGAAAACACTCTTTATGTTCCACTCCACAATACCCAAGAACACTAGCTAGTTCTCATAGCCGGATCTCTTCTAATCAGTGTGCTCTTTTGTGTTGCGGAAATACTCTGGTTTTCTGAATTAACAGTGGCTCAAGGATTATTAGGTCTACTGTTCTCTGTGTTTTCTCTTCCTTTCACTCCTCACTCTCTCGCCCACTCCATCCCTCTCTTTGTGTTTTCACCAAATGAGCTATTGATCTCTCTCATGTAGCTTTTAAGAGCTTAACAGAGTATAACTGCTCCAGACCTACTGTACAGCTTTCTATAAAGACGCTTGGTGCCTAAAACTCACAGAGCAGTGAGGAGAGTCTCTGAGAGGAGATGTATCATTTACTGTGTGTTGTGTTTCAGGGTGTACCTTATGTGGAGGGCAATGGGATGAGCAGTCTGTACAAGCTGCAGGTAAAGACTTTTCAAATGGCTCTCATTGTGATCTGTTGTTTGCATGTCATAGTTCAATCATTTAGCAAAAAGAGGAATCTGCGCTTGTGGTTAAAATGTGTTTGACCCTATTTTTTAAGCAGTCATAACAAAGGAAAAACACGTATTTTCAGAGCGGTGGAGCTATTCTGGGACCCCCTGGAGCTCCTGGTGCTCCGGTAAGCATAATCATTGTTATGCCTGAAGCAAATCCTTAACAGTGTGCTGCAGAGGAACGCTAGCACACAGGCACACTGATACTGTATGAGCCAGTCAGAGCTGAATAACAAATAACTTGACCGGCAATCCAGTGTTATCTCAGCTACTGAGGCACTATCACACTCAATCATGTTCAATGAGAGCTGGTGGTTGGTTGAAGGCCAAGAGGTGTCCTGACTCCCAAACAGGTGTTTCTGACCCGCCCCAGGACACACAATAATCATTGACATGCAGAATGGATTTAGACGTTGAGTCGCTCCGCACAGTGCCGAGCTGAAGTGAGACGATTTGCTTATCAGCTCCCCCTGCTCCGCCTTATCGGGCCGTTTGCAATCTTGTCCAGTCTCCTGGGAGACGTTCATTCACAGGCCCTGCAGGGATCCATCCAGCACAACGAACACTAAAGGCAGTGACAAAAAAATAGACTTCAATATCCCCCGTGCACAATGCACAAGAACCACAGCTCAATCTTGAGGATGCTTCTCCCTGAACTGCATCTACCGTAGCACAGCCCAACAGCTCCCCTGGAGCAAACAATAAGAGAGCATCTTCATCAGTGTTAAGAGGAGAAAAGGCTACATGTGTCATCTTTTCTTGCTTGTTTTAATGTAGAAAAACACGGAATTGCTTGTAAGTATGCCTAACTAAATATCTTTAAAGCTTAACAAGACTGGATTTTATTATCCTGATCATTTTAAATCCTGCTTGAGAAAGACCTCATTCTTACCAGTCTCATATTACATGATGTTAGCATAATATACAGACAGAAATGGCGAGATAAGAGCAGCAATGATGTCTGCTATAAATTGTAATGACACTGACATACAGTAGCCGCATGATATTTGAGTCTATATTAATGATTTGTATGGTGGTAGCTGTTCTTGCATTCATGGGAGTATTCTCTTTTTTCTTCTTTTCCTCTCTTTTCAGGGTCCTAAAGGAGATGACGGAGTTGCAGTAAGTTAACACTTTTTATTCAGGAATATATTTTTGAGAAATGTTCAGTGTTCCCCCAAAGAAATCAGGGTTTCCAGTAGCTTTCTATCATTGTCTCTGTGGTTCTCAGCAAAAGTCAATACACCCTCAAGCCTGAGCACTTAACCACTCTCAGTAGAGCTCCAACACACAGCGAAAAATGATCATACCTCCTGCAAATATGAAACTGTTGTACCATATTGTCTTGCCAGTGGGAACATGTCCTGTCCTTCCCCCCCCACACCGATGCCGGAAAACCGTCCACGCAGACATAGAAACAATTCCACGCGTCTGCCATCAACTTGAATTCTTTATTCTCGCGGGGCCAATTGCATTTTTTATTGTTTTGTTGCACAGTGATTTTTCACCAGGATGCTAATTTGACATTTTAATAAATTGTGTGAGCGGCTCCAGTGCTGTGGTGGAATTGCCCCAATCCGTCTCACAGCTGATCCTCTGGCTGGCCCACTCTCCTCTTAGTCGCACTCGCTTATTCATGACAATCTACATGTGTGACAATTACCTGCACAATCCGTCTATGTCAGCACCGGTTGCCCCTCTTCTCTGTGTAATGGCGTTTCTCCATGGCAGCCGGAGCAAGATGAGGTAGAGAGAGGCCACCACTTGCTCCAACCCTGGGAATGGGGGTCTATTTATAGGGCAGAAAGCCAGTCTGATTGTGATTGCCAAATGGGGCTCTTTTTCCTAGGTGTGACAGCAGGTGTCATAAAGCATATACAATACACTCACTTTGCAGGGTTGTCCTTTTATGATTATCTTCAAATTGACAACGAAAGGTAATATTAAAGGGGACCTATTATGCAAAATCCACTTTTTCCTGTCTTTTATACATAAACATGTGTCCCCTCTGTTTAAAGAGATTCTGAAAGTTTCAGGAAAAAAGATTTGCTCACTTTTTGTCCTGATCCATTTATATAAAAATAAAGACCTGTCTGAAAATGAGCTGATCAGATTTTGGCCACTTTACGATGTCATAACGATTGTTTGGCTTGTGTAACCATTAGCCAATAACCAACCAAGGTAACACCTTATCACCTGAATCTCCTCCTAGAGCTCCATTGTGTTCTTTTTAGGGGCGTGGGGAGTGGCTCCTTATTTTCATCTAAAGTAACAGACAGAGAATCAGCACTTTTGAAACAGGGCTGAAACAGAGGGGATTATGGGATGCTACAATGCATGATCTGTTTGGTATTTGGAGCCAAACATTTCAGAGACATGTTTTGTATATATCTGAGACCTATAATATATTGATGAAAAACAGTGTAATAGGGCACTGATATAATACGTAACTGAAAAAATGTAAATCAGACGTGGAAATGTCTTAATTTAATTTATGTGTATGTAGCTTTGATCTATATTTGCTTCTTTATGCGTAATGTTTACTGACAGCCTTATAATGATATTTCCTTAGCTCATCACCAAACTCAGTTCCTTATTGAAGACTGTAAGAGAAAAATATCATTCTGGTACAAAAAGGGGCAACTAACAACCTTTAGTACCAGTAGTGATTTTTTTTGTCTTGACACAGTGGGGGGTGTGTTTCTTTCTCACAGGGGGAACCAGGGGCCATGGGATTACCCGGGCTTGAAGGGCTACCCAGTGCCAAGGTAAGCAACTGTATCGACTCATGAAGCGTTTTATCTGCTTTGACCTAACCTGATTACAAAGTGAGGTAAAGTGCTTTCTCTGTACTTAATTCTCATTACAGAGCATTTTAAGAGGTTTTCTTTCTGAAATGAGATATTCAGCAAAAGAACAAAAGAAACAAATGCTTCCAGTATGAACCTGAAAAGCATTAAGGGTTCCTGGTATAAGTCAATTTAAGGGAATATAATAATGTTTATAATTCAATCACTTATGGTTGAAAAAAGGATTATGGAAATGTCCGGTTTAGAGCCATTAACTGCACATACAGTAATACCACAGCAATCTGAAGCTAAATGTTACAGTTAAGTCTGCACAATGATCAATGCATCATTCTTAATGCAATCTAGCCCTGCATCCTCACCCAACCTAAGTCTAAATCTGTATGGAAAAGACACTTACACAAGACACTATTCCTTTAAGACTTAAATGGTTTCTGTATCCATTTATTTGTGTAAATTGAGTGTATTAACAGTGTGATATGGGGATCATATTGGTGTTGCATGGGTGTAATATTGGTCTAATAATGACAGTTTAATATGAGTGTAAAAACAGTGTTTCATGGGTGTAACATGGGTGTAATAGGGGTGTATTAATGTGTAATATGGGTTTAATAGGGTTGGAATATCAGTGTATGGGTCTAATAACAGTATAACATTGGTTTAATAACTGTTTATTTGGGTTGTATTAATTTCATTTCATTCATTTCAAACCTTTATTTATTGAGATCATTGATCTCTTTTTCAAGGGAGACCTGCTCAAGTAGGTTCCACATGAAACATTAAAAACATAACAGAGCAACAAAAGGACATCATACAGTAGCATTACAGGGATTACAATTTACATAACTATCCACATGCACAGGTACCAACAGCTTCCGATTGAGTAGCATCCAACCGAGCTTTAAAAACATTTAGTGGCACCAGGTTGCTCAGTTTCCATTTTAATTGCAGACTATTCCAGGACAGTGGAGCTGCGCATCTAAATGCTATTTTCCCTAAGACAGTCCTAGCAGTTGGCACATTTAATAAAACCACAGCATGCGATCTCAGGCAGTAGCCACTTACAATTCGCCGTGAGATCAGGGAGCAGATGTAGGATGGAAGTTTCCCTAACATGGCTTTATATATAAAAATGTACCAGTGACTGAGCCTCCGTACAGTTAGTGAAGGCAAACCAGCCCTTGCATACAAGGTACAGTGATGAGTTAATGCTTTACAGTTTGTGTAATAATGTGTAATAATGCCATAATATGGGTGTGATACGGGTCTAATAACAGTATAACATGGGTATAATAACTGTTTATTAGGGTTGTATTAATGTGTAATATGGGTGTAATAATAGTGTAATGTACAGTAGTAAACAGGACTCAATTCATTTTCCAAATTATTGAATGCCCATTTAAGTGTTAAGGAAATACCAATACTCAAAATACCAATCCAAGTCTTCATAACGAGGATGTAAATCATAACTCCCAATTTGTGAATTTTCTAAGTATTGTTTTTAAGCTTTTAAGCCTTTTTTCCTTGCATTTGTTTGAGGAGTCCAGGAGCATCCATTATAAACATGTTTATGGCCGTTTCTGACACCAGTGTCTGTGCCTACTTGACGATGATGTATGTGTATTCTTTATGGTATGTGTATGTCATCCATCCATCTCTCCCTCAGGGCGATATTGGTTTGCCTGGTTCGTCTGGAATGATAGGTCCTACAGTGAGTTTTTTCTCTTCTTCTAATTAATTTACAGTGACTCACACTCAATTGTTGACATATCATCTGTGTTGTTTCAGTCTGCTGCTGGCAACAACTTTCATAAAGCCCACAGAATAACAACCAGCAAAACAGAAGTCCCTTAACACAACACCGCTTGAAACTGGGATATACGTAGACCCGTAGTCTGTTCCCTGGATATACTGTGAAGCTATAGTAGACTTGTTGGTATATTGTGAAGCTGAAGCTGCTGTAGATATGACAACATTGAGGACCTGTCAAACACGTCTGTTCTCTTCCTGTGTTGTGATTGACAGGGGAAGCCCGGCACTGATGGAGAGCGAGGGATCCCAGGAGACTCGGTGAGCCTCAGCCTTCTAACTCTCTTTGAGCTGTCAATCCGTGCGTCATTCCTTTTTCACAGCCGACTGACACGTTGGCTGTCTCTGTTCTTCCACAGGGTGAGAGGGGGCCGCTCGGAGAGACAGGATTCCCAGGGCCCGAGGGACCCCAAGGTGTTCCTGTAAGGATGCTACACAAATGATGTTGCTCTTCCCTATATAATCACTGCTCAATGATGCCAAGACAACTACACTTATGTCCAGGCCGGAGCTTCAATAACACACTGCTCTTTTAGCAGGTCATTCTACCATGATATGAGAGAAAGGAGAGCATGATTCAAGGACAATATGGATAAATGTGTGTGTTGGCGATCACTTGTCCTGTAGATGATTGCAATCCTCCGTGTAATTACCATCAGAGATGGTTTCTGTAATTTTCCCTGTAAGCACACAATGGAACAGTGTTCGCACAGCAATCAGGATCATTATCCCTTGGTTGAGATATCTCATTAACTGTGGAGATTACTAGGAGTGCAACAGTGCTGATCCAATCGAAGGTGGGGGCTAATACAAAATGTCTTTGTTTTTGTTTCACTCCTTGAGCAGGGGAGACCTGGAAAAGATGGAACTCATGGAGAAAAGGTGAGTTGTGCGAACACGTTTCAAATCCCCTTATAGACAGTGCTTTACATCCGCCGAGCTACAGAAAGTTGGCACAGCAGATTTGTATCCCCCCCACCTCAAGCTACAGCCTCCTGAGTGCATTAAAGCTATTTGCATATTTGCATATTCGAGATTTTAAAGGATAAAAAACGAAGTCAAATCCTGCAGATTCGAGGCTTTGTTGACTTTTTACCCTAATTATACAGTTAATGCTTTTAGGCAATGATAAAATGTTTGTAAAAGAGGGAAGCAGACACTTAGATTAAACATGCATTTTCCTGCCTGATGAACCTGGCAAAAATAGAAACAAATACTGCGGCAATGTCTGCTTTTAGCTAGTTCATCAAACATATTAGAGGCGTTTTACTTCATAATCACACAGAATGGGCTCACAGCATGCAGAACATATTTGCCCTGAATAGCCATTACCAGACCATTATACAGTCCAATAGAAAACTGGTTCCACTATGAAAATTACTGTTTTTTCCCTTTAATGACAACCCCTACAGTTTATTGTTTGCTCATTACTATTAGTTGGTATTCTTCCACCAGAGTCTCAGCATTGCACAAAGCCTTATACACTTGTATCCTGTTTTCCTGCATTAGTGCCTCATTTTTCCATGGGACAACAGTGCCATCTAGCAGGCGGCTTTCCCCCTTTCTACCGAGACTCATCGCACACTGCTTTGAGGTTTAATGTAATGCTCATGGAAGCACATTTCACTGGGCAAGATGATAGATTTAAGCCTCCTTTTTAAGGCATTTGGGAATACAGAGTAGCACAGATTAAAGCAGGCAGGGGAGAACAGCATCACAGAGAGATGCCTGTTATAAAACCACATCATGCCAGATTGTCTTTTGCATGGCTCCCATAATTCAGCAGGAAATTGATACAAAGGTGCTCCCAGGGGTATTGCTGTGAGCACCGTAAAGGGAAGCAATGAGGAGTGACAGGGAAGGATTGGAAGACACAGGATGTTGTGACATGAAGCCAGAGACAGGTACTTTCTCTGCCAGCTATACCCTCATACAGTAGAGGCAGCTGCTGGGAAAGCGATGCAGAGAAGCCGTGACATTGCAGAAGGTGAAACACTCTTACAGGGAGATTTTATACAAGCAATATACCTGAGCTGACTGAGAAGCAATCAATGCACAGTCATCTGAAAAGTGTACATTTCTCAAAGTCAAGTAATTCAGGAAAAGCTTGCTCAAAGTTTTTTCTCGAGGCAACAGAACAGGCAATTCTGCAAATATGATGGTGGATATGAGAAATATGCCAATACGATGGGTTTAAATAATAGAAATCTCTGCTGTGCTTGTATGGATAACAATAAAGGAGAATTATGTGTGCCCTGGCTTAACATCAATACTTTGTCAAGAGTGGGTGAAAAGCTTTAGGGTCAGCAAACTTTATTTTCCCAATTATTTAGAGGTGTTATCTTTTCTTGTGACTAAACTATGTTTCATCTGCTTTATTTCGTAGGGAATTACAGGTACATCAGGAGACAGAGGATCCAAAGGAGAGCGTGTAAGTAGCGTCATCCCTGATGTCCTAAAAGGAAGCTGTTGGTACATTATGACTCACACTTAAATGCACAACAAAAATGTTGTGATGAATAGTAATGAAAGTCTTCACTTCGGCACAAATATGACTAATCCGCACGTAAGCACTAGATAAAGGCATTTAACGCTCAGTGCAGTTTCCCATTGTATTTGCAAGGCTAAATTAAAGCGCTCCGTCATACTCAAGCAGTAATCTATTGCAAAATGAGGCTTTTAGCTTTATAATTGGCAACCGTACCTCAGGACAGGTGACTGGCTGGACACATTAGGACAAATAGGTCAGTGTGCACCGCATCTTAAAGGTCCCCTATTATACTCTTTTTCATCACTATATCATAGGTCTCAGATATATACAAAACATGTCTCTGAGGTGTTTGCCTCGAAATACCAAACAGATCGTGCATTGTAGCGTCCCATAATCCCCTCTGTTTCAGCCCTGTTCCAAAAGTGCTGATTCTCTGTCTGTTACTTTAGATGAAAATAAGGAGCCCCTCCCCACGCCCCTCTGAGAGATATTTGGTTAAAAAGAACACGATGGTGCTCTAGGAGGAGATTCAGGTGATAAGGTGGTGTGGCGGGGGGGGGGTTACCTTCGTTGGTTATTGGCTAATGGTTACACAAGCCAAAAAAACATTATGACATCATAAAGTGGGCAAAATCTGATCAGCTCATTTTCAGACAGGTTTTTATATACAAAAAGTGAGAGAATCTTTTTTCCTGACACTTTCAGAATCTCTTTACACAGAGGAGACACATGTTGATGTAGAAAAGACATGAAAAAGTCGATTTTGCATAATAGGTGACCTTTAAGTGATAATGATGAGTCAGGCGGGGAAAATAGTGGCTGCGGTGTGGCGTATTCCAGCAGGAATTGCAGCTAAGACATGTCTGGACTTCTTTACTGCAGGGTGATCCCGGTATTCCTGGAGAAAGAGGGGTTCAAGGCGAGAGGGGGCGCTTAGGGGATCCTGGCCTGCTTGGACCATCCGGACAAAAAGGAGATTCTGGCGCTCCAGGACAATTTGAGAATGCTAACGTCTTGGTAAGATAACTTTGATCAAACACACACTATCTTTCCCCGCAGATGATTAAAACCTCCATCAGCCTACTTCCTCCCTGAGCTTGCGAAAGTAGTTCAGTTCTCGTATGGAAGAAATGGTGCAGCTACATATTTTTGTGTGAGACATCAAACAAGGCTTTGTTGGGGAGGTTGCTGTTCTCTTTCTGCAGAGCGCTTCCCACTCCTCATGCAGGCAACCGAAGGTCAGAGAGGGAGAGAGATGGAGACAGAGAGAAAGACAGATATGTGGGCGTGCCTGGAGCTCAGCAGAGCAGTGAAAACACCTCCGTGTGTCACAGACATTTTACACATACTCAACGCAGTCACAACTGTTATATAACAGCAGAGATTGAATCTGTTTGGACTGAAGAAGAAGTCCAAAGCTACTGTTGTTTGCCTATTTTACCCTGAAAAGCTCTAACAGCTTTTGAGAGATATATATTGTCATACAGTACATTCGCCTTGATAGAAGAGGCATGCAGATGAGAAGCCACTCTTTATATCTGAAGCACAGAGGGCTTTACTACAGAAATGGACAGAAAGTGACACCTGGAAGTCTCTTTATAGAGTCATAATACCTCATTTTATATTCCCAGGCTCAATCCATTTTTACTTCTAGCTGGATTTAAGGTGCAGATGTGATTTTACAATGTAAGGGGGGATTTCACTGAATAGTTAGAAAAGAGAATTTTCAGAAGTAATCTCTTCTCCCTGTCGTGGGTTTCAATGTTTTTTGAGTTGAGATATAAGTCAATTTAATTTTCATTGCTGCCAGTTAATTTCTGAATGAAATATGTGTGTATTCTTCTCCTTTCCACGCACAGGGTGATCCCGGCTTCATTCAAGAACTCAAAATGCTCATCAGAAACGAAGTATTAAAGGTCTTTGAAGGTACAAATGATCCCAAATGAAAACGTTCCATAGTTATTATTCAAGGATTTCTCCGTTTTGAATGTGAGTTGTTTCATTTTGGTACCTTGTAGAGAAGCTATCGAGCTCTGCCGTGCCACAGAAGACACATGCGGGGATCCTGGCTTCACAAATCCACGGGCCTCCTGGAGCTCCTGGGAAGGACGGATTACCCGGAACACCAGGAGAGCCCGGACCTCCTGGTACTCATGGTAAGAGCTCAGGCTGCCAAACTCAACTGCTGGACCTTAACATCAACTCAGAAAGATAACCACTTCTGTTGAAATGAAAATAACTTGTAACCTTTGATTGCTCTGAACCAGACACTTACAGTAACCCTTTGATATTTTTACCCACGAAACATGTCTATTGGCGTTTCATTCACCTATGAGTCCGCACCACACATATTCAAAGCAAGCAGGAAATAGTGAACTGCAACATTCTTTTCTGTATATAAAGACTCAGGATGAAGCTGGAATTGGATGGGGGCTACCAATAAAGGTTTGTATTTTGGGGATTCATGGGTATCTTTCTCTTGCTTAGACCCGTTTATCAATGCAGACTGAGGGGCGGGAAGCAGAGGAAAAAGGCCAGGAGTGTGGTGCACAGCGGCTCTCTGGGAAATATGAAGACAAACGAAGAATTGGCTGTGAATAAGAGAAAGCATTATCAATGTGGACAGGAAAGAGCCCCAGTATTGATACCTCACTTCGGGGAAGAAAGCCTCTAAAGTAGAAAAGGAGCATAGTCAGGAAAGAGGGTGGACGTTCTTTGATCAGACTGATGACTTTCTGACTGCTGCAACACTAATGGTTTGCCGGTCAGGCTTTATACCTCAAACTCGCTTAGAATAGTATTGTGTCCGCAGCAGAGCGGTGTCTTAACTTTAAAAGGAGTGTGTTACGTTGTTGGTGCAGATCAAAAGCACCACTGCATTGGCCTTTGTTCTTAAGCTATATATCTACCTCACATTAATCAAGACCATGTACACTTTAACCCACTGCTATGATATAAAATGCTGTTTTCATTCATGAATAATGTAGTTAAAGTAGGCCACTACTGGACTATACATATGTGTGCTGTGATAATGCCTTTTGCATTACACATGTCTTTGATTTCCTTCAGCTTGTTGTATTTTTTTAAGCTTCCAAAGAGTGTTTTATAGGTGATTCGTAATGCAGCTTTGCAATAAATGTGTATTGAAAACAAAGAGGAACGTTTTTTCCCTTGGTAAATCAAAAATTCAACAACTTCCCTTAATTTTGTCTTTGTTGACTTGTGCCTCCACTCAGCTGGGGAGAGAGTTTGGGGTAATATTTCCTCATTATTTCTCGTCATCCTCGGCTGGAGACTGTGCTTCTCTGAAATATCTAACTTGACTTATTCTCCAATATGCCAAAATGAATTGTTTATGGAGAACAATAACCCCTCTGTTGAGTTATTCTTTTCTTCGTGGTTTGACTTCACATGGGTGAAAGTCTCAAGCTGTTAAAGAACACCCATGCTGAAAAGCATCATCTGTTTTTTCTTTTTTTTATCCCATTTCCCTATGTTATAATTGACTGCTCATTTATCATTCTATATTCATGTATTACATTTGAGAGCGTAAGGAGAAATCATGTAAATCCTTTGTATTTAAGTGCATTTCATAAATAATTTTGATTTTAACATTCTTTTTTGTTTTATTTTGTATTCTAGTGCGTTCTGTTTATGTATCAATCCTGAAACAAGTGTTTTTTTTTTATTATATCTGGCTGTAAACTCTGTGTTTTGGCGCTGCAATCCTTTGTCCTGTACAATATGGAAATATCAGTAAACATCCCGCAGTAATTGGCCTTTGATGGAGCAGCTGCTCAAAGAAAGGTGTTCTTTCTTTCTTCTGTCAAGCCTAGCATGGCAGAATAAATAGATGCTGCTGTTAATGCTGTTTACAACAGTGTACAACAGGTGCAGCACTGCAATCCTATCAATCAAGCATGAAGAACACTCTCTGGCAATAATATTTTCTATTAGCGCATTTTATCCATTAGTGCCCGAGAAAAAAAATGTTTTCAACCAAGTGTAGATGCAGTATGGAGTTTTCGATTTATCAGAGTGCACCAATCCGGCGTGCCACCCAAGCTTATTGCCCTGTGTGCTATTCAGTCTTTTTTTTGCTTAAGGTACAGTGCTCTTTTCTTCATGGATCGTCTCCTCCCTGAATGAATGCCCCAGGCTCTGTGAGTGTTGAAAGAAGTCTCATTATTGTGGCAATGTGTGGATAGCCCCCTCTCTCTTTTGAGACTCGGTTTTGGAGCATTCATAAGCCTTTTTTCTGACATGTAAGCGTCGAAGCGTTTCCCCTTTGGGCCAGGCGGTGTGATGCTTGATACTCCTCCTGTCAATGTTTCTGATGCACTCCATGCAACCGCTGGTCCTGAGACTCCATTACTTTAAGTGCCTCGTGGGGAAATATATTTCCCAGCCCCTGAAATTCTTACTTGGTATGCTGCTTGTTTTGTATACTGCAAAGACTCAGCAGCTTAGCATGGAGTGAGAAAGCCTTTCAATAACATGTTTGTGTGCTCATTGTTCTACACAACGCACTTGCTGGCCTTGAAGATGAGTGTTAATGCTTTGATTTGATTTATTTGACTCATCATCATGTCTTTGACGTTTTAAGCATGTCCTTGTGTTATTTCATCTTGGAGGTAATCATGCAGAATCAAATCAGCATAGCAGAAAGCCTTTTAAAATGAGATAAATTAGCTTTCTCTCTGTGGTCAAACAGAAGAAAAAAATGATTAATGAGCGTGTTTATCCTCCCGTTAAATTACGTCTATTGTAATGAATAGATAAGATTGTTTTCTGCATCTGTTTGTGGTACATATGTATTTATCTGAATGCCTTGAGTGAGCAACATATCTGACCTTTGATTGAAAAAAAAGCTCTGTTCTTCTTCAAAGACTTGCGCTCGCGGCCATATTGTTGCCAGAGAGCTGTACACGCCTCTTTCATTGGACGCTAACGTTCAGATGGCTTGTTTGATGATTTCCAATTTGACAGGATATCAGTAGGTCTTACATTATTCAGAAGGATGGGATTCCTACATCAACTATCAAAGCTGCAGGCTTGATGCTGGACATTGCGAAACGTATTGTTCATATCTATATCATCAAGAAGCCACTCTGTAGAAGTCCCTGGGAAGATACAAAGATTTCAATAAAGGTATCCAATGGGAAAAGTAGTTTTTTTAACATGTTTGGGCATTTGTACTAATCTCACTAACTGTGGTTCCGCGCTCCGTAAACACAACACCGCACACTTGATGTTGGCAGTATCTGTGCTCAGCCCGAGTGTTGTGTCTGTCCTCAGGGTACAGGGGGCAGAAAGGAGAGCGGGGTCAGCTTGGTCTGGGGTTACCAGGAGATCCAGGAGCCACGGGGCCACCAGGTAAGAGACATCTTAGATCGTACACTAAACTTGATGTAATCAGTGCATTTTGTTACAGGCAGCAAGGACGAATCCAAGAGAATGTGTTTTAAGTTATTTTGCTTTGCATTGGAGACTTTTGAACCCACTGCGAATTCATAGAACTTTACGTCAAAGCGGGCCATCAATATGTTTATAATAACAAGGGTTTAAATGAGTGTTTGTCTTGTGAAGGGTGATTCATTTTTGATCAACCAACAGAAACTGGTGAACATAGACAGTCAAAAAATGTTGGAGACCAAAAATGAGCTAAGAGGAGAGCAAAGTTGCTCTGTATCTGCAATAATATGGCAAGAAAGATCAGAAAGTACTTCCCTGCCCTTCTGGTGTGCTTCGATTTGACCCCTTTTTTCACTGAATGACCCCCTGTCTCCTCCACATCTTAGTTTATTACGTTTCCTACCTGTCTAAAAGAAGGACATTAAGTGAGACTCAGTAAACATCAGTTGTGTCAAATCTCAAAGCTCAAATGTATTTCAGCCTTCATGTGGAATCTCAGCATGTTGGAGATAAAAGCAACTCTCAGATACCTTTTCGTAAAACCTCTGACACAAATTGGACCACAACAGAGGACAAAGTGCTGCAGAGATGGAGCAATGACGTCCGTCCTGTACTGTTAAAGTTCAGCCTTATGTGCTGAGCAAAGTTTCTCTTAACACGACCTAAGATGTCGGCTTGTCCCCTGCTCCCGTGAACTAAGAAATAACTCCCTACCCCCCGACGGAGCCATGACTTCAGTCCTTTGACAGCAGGAGTATATCACTGACCCTAAAGTCACGTATACAACTATGTGTGAGCATAATGCATGTGTGGGGCCAATGATAACAAAAATCAGTGGCTCCTCTGGAGAGGACTAATCTAGGCTGTTGAAAGACATTATGTCCAGGGGCGTACAGTGATAGGAAGCACCTTCGGCACAGCTGCTGGGGTTAGACTTCCACTGTGTTCACATCCCGGTAAGAGTCAGAAAGTTTAACAAACTGAATGTGCCAGGCCACTGCGTCTGTATTCCCTGGGCAGTTACTGTAGTCCCTGTACAGCAGAAACATATTTCTACCAACCAAACCTCCCGTCACCCGGTCATCATGAGTGACAACTCGTACCCCTCGTCACATGGAGCAGATTTAACCTACAGTACAGCCTACAGGTCCATGGAGAAATATGGCATTTCAGTGGTTGACCACAATGTCCATTTCCTGTCATTGCTTATAACTCTTTTTACCAGATAGACTTTGATGTCATAAATGAACTCTGTGCTATATATAAATATATAAGCAAAAATATAACCAATGCAGGTAGGGAAACATATTGGTGGTTTCTATGACGCCCATGTCTATAATGCATTTAAAACCAACTTATCAAGAGTTAAAACCTGCTTATAGCACTTTTATATTAACCGACTTGTATTTTAATCGCACTCATAAATATTAACTATGCCTTATAACACCAATAATAGCACATTTTAAAGCATTATTACTTATAAGGTCAAGTATCAAAAGTTCATACTGTATTTGCTAGTGACTCACATTTTAGATGAATTATGTGTTATTACCTTAACTTACAATGACCACTAAATGTGACTTATAATAATAATAATAATAATAATATAATAATAATAACTCTATTAATGATAACATGCATTTTACTTAAAACACCCAGTGACCACTTTTAGTTACTTATAATCACATTTCAATGCATTATAACAATGATTCTAAAAAAATATTATAACATATTGGGATCTATTAATAACGCTATGGTTTGTTAAAAGAATAAATCTGTGTGTGACAATTATGAAGCTTTACTGTATGATACTTTTAGGTTATATAAAATGCTTTATAATGTTTTATGATGGACTCTTAAGTGTACAGTTAGATTAGATTTGAATGCACCATACGTTTTTTTATAATTAAATATCGACATTTGAGATAAGTATTGTGTGCCTTTGCTCTGGCGTGGACAGCACAAAGCAGCACAGTACTGAGGACAGTTTTGTGTGAGAGCAGTTTAGCAGGAGATGGATGTGTCGGTGATGGAAAGGGCAAGTTGTGTTTCCAGAGGGAGGAAAAGAACGAGGCTGTACCTGTGGTTCCTGCTGAATGAAGAGCACTTTCCCCGCTGTGACTGATGTAATGGATATGGAGGGGTTTTATAAGCTTAAAGAGATGTGTCACAAACACAAATATCATCCCTGGTCCTTGTGTTTGTATGGCAATGAAGCTGTGTCACTTCAGCAAGCTGTTGCTTAGTAACATGAGACACTCATGTCTCATCTGCAGTGATGACGTCATAGTGGAGAAAGAGGAAATGTACTTTCTCTGTCCTTGATGGCCGTTACGGTGAAATAAATAATTTAGTAATTGAAACATATTGCAGGTATTAAAATGATAATGGTAAAGGAGAATATAGAGAAGGATTAATATCATACCGTATATCAGAATGCTTTTCCAGTATAGATAGGACTAATGTATGCAAAATCACATCCAGTAAATTATGATCTATGTTCACTGCAATTAAAACTGTGTTGTACTACTTCGCTTAACAGTATTGTTCTAGTTTGTTAAATGTTTTTTTTCATTATTATTCTAGATATTATATTCTAGATATTTGCCTTATTGAATGGCTTTAATGATACATCTTCTTAAAACTATTGTTTATACACGTTGCATTAGTTACCAAATCGGTTTATCAGCTCAATGGTTTTAACTCGAAATCAAATTGTCACATTATGATTTCACCTGAAAGTTGGACAATTAAAATTCCGATTACTACCTTTCAGTAAAGCCTGTTCGATGAGAAGAAATCAACTCATCAGTGCTCTGTGGTGGCCATAGTTTTTTATAATGGTGTCAATTTCTTGTTAGTTATCCAACAACACATACACCAGTTACGATATTCCTGCAACGCGCTAATATCAGCAGATATATCAACCTGATTTATTGGGTCTAGCTCTAGCAGAAATACCTGCAGTGGATGTATACTCTGGCTTTCTCGCATTATGAACTATCTCTTTGTATTTCCACACAGTGTGTCACTCCACTGAGCGATGATAAAGTGCAGCCTGGCACAGGAATGAATAATGTCTAATTCTCTGTCCAGGCTCCCCTGGGACCACTCCTCAGGGCTCTCCGGGGCCCCGTGGACCCCCTGGGAACTGTGACCCAGGTGACTGCCTACTTCCATCCCTGTGAGCCCAGCGGAGCCGATTGGAAAACCAACGTCAAACTCCGGACCTACAACTGACCTCTTTTGTTCACGTTACAAACACGTGGGGATGCAGTCAGGATTGTTCTTGTTCTTGTTGGGTTTGTTTTAAATTGGATAGAAAACCTTTGAGGGTTTTTTTTGTTTCTTTCTGCAATCCTGTACTTCTTGTTTTCACATCCCCTACTGTGATGCATTCCTTGTCAACTCTCATTATGTCTTTCAAGACCATGAAATGACTTTGTTTCATCAGTTCTGTCTGAAAAAATGATCTTAATAATTATTTGTTTGCCTCCTTAATGGGCATGCCTTTTCACCCTTCTGTTCTTATTCAGATAAGCCAATGTGCTGGCAGAAGGTACATCTCAAATGTGTGTGTGTGTGTGTGTGTGTGTGTGTGTGTGTGTGTGTGTGTGTGTGTGTGTGTGTGTGTGTGTGTGTGTGTGTGTGTGTGTGTGTGTGTGTGTGTGTGTGTGTGTGTGTGTGTGTGTGTGTGTGTGTGTGTGTGTGTGTGTGTGTGTGTGTGTGTGTGTGTGTGTGTGTGTGTGTGTGTGTGTGTGTGTGTGCGTGTGTGCGTGTGTGTGTGCAAGCGAGAAAGAGATTAGCTGAATGAATAAACTTGTTTTATGTGGTGGTGTGAGAACATAACAGATTTTTGAAGCTCCTTATGCAACCAAAGTGCAGCAGATGTGTCGGATATGGAAATTATTTATTTCAAGCGTGTTATTCAAGAATATATTTAAAGAGGGTACTTATTATTGTAGTAAATGTAGCATGGATGTTCAGTAATAGTATTACTAGAAGGAGGATTAATACGTTTCTGGATTACTGAGAGTTGCGTTTGATGAAATCATCACTCATGACACATTTGCATTGTGCACGATAATCTTTTTTTTCACTGAATCTGCAGTTTTATAATTGATAAAGACGTCTTCCTATTTTCTGTAGGTTACGCGTCGGTACTGAGCGCCATACCTTTTGCAGTACAAAAACCTACAATTCATACTTTTACTGAGACTACTGTGTTTGTAAGACACATCCATCCATCAAGGGCAGATTCAAAGAATGTAATTTGAAATGATTTGTATGAGTGTGACTTCACATTCGCCTTATTGTCTGTTTAATCTGTACATACGTTGAGTGATTGTGGTTTTTATTTTGATTTCTTTCTTCCTTTCTTATGGGGCTTGTGATGGGACCTGGCGACCTTGAGAGCCTTGAAAGGCGCCTATATAAAATAAATGAATTACCTGATCATTTTTACATAAGCAAGTTGTCATTGTAGTGACACATTCAGGTTCTCTCTTTGTTATCAATGTGTTTGTCTGAGATGATAATTTAACATTCGCTGTTTACATGGTGTTGTGTATGATGATTCCTCTGGTTTATTTGTATATTTTTGATTTGTTCAACCACTCAAAGGAAGTCGGACGACAACACTACAACTTCAGACTTTTTTTTGGTGAATAATTTACTCATAAATCTACTTGAAGTTTCTCGCTGTTTGTTTTAAAGGGGCCTTATTAAGCTTTTTGCGGTTATCCCCTTCCTGTTATGTGTTATATAGGTGTCTGTGCATGTAAATGGTCAGCAAAGGCTAAAATCCCAAAGTTCACGCCACATGGAGTTTCTTCCCTCCATTGGACTCCTTTGTTTACTTCTGTAACATAATGGCATCACTATGTAACACTCGCTCTTCTATTGGCTAGCGCTTCAAGACATTGTACGTGATAGACATGTCACAGTGAGATGTTTCCATGCTTGACAATGTCTGAGTAGAGGCACACAATACAAAATGAACCTGAAAATGAGCACAATAGGGCCCCTTTAAAGACAAATGTCTACATCCTGGTCTTTCACTCACTGACCACCACTGTGTCACTATAATGTCTGGTTTTGGGGTGTCTTGTGACTGGAGTTTGGATTTATTTATTTACTGAAACATAATGTTTTATTGTCGTTGTAATGTTACTAGAGAAAAGTTTGAGTTCAACCCTACCTAAACAAGCCTTCTGAGTTTTCTTATCCAGAAACTCGCTACAACTGCACATTTGCAGACCTTCATCAGGACAAAAGTTAAAGCATTCAAACTTTAACATTGAATGTCCTGAAATGTATTTTACATTTTCTCAATCTTTTATTTTGAGTGCTGTTTAATGAGAGTTTGACTCAAAGGCTTTACAAATGTTTAATGTCCTGCTGTGATTTATGTCTGAAAAGTTCTGTGGGTGTATCTGACATTTTGAGACGTTGTAAGAACTCTCTTCTTTCTGCGTTTCATCCTTTAAGATCTGTTTGAGACTTTTAACTTCATTTCCACATCTTAGACGGTCATCAAGCTTCTCTTACACATATGAATTATAACTTGCATCTTCCTCTGAAGCTGCAGAGCATTTTTTAATACTTTTCTCAGCATGCGGGCTTGGTTTTATCCCTGTTAAGTTTTATCAGTGTGAGTTGGTCTAATTTCAGATGGGTAGTAAATCAAATGTGTGGAGCTGACTTCATTTGTGAGTTGAAAGAGCCCCCTGCTGGACATATATTTAATTTTTCATTGCTTGTAATGTGGAAGGACAACATCTATGGGTTCTACCCTACATAAAATCCCCTTCTATTGGCTTCTGTCTTTTCATCATGCTAATTTTTCTTTTTCATATTCTATTTAATGGGTTCCCTTAACAATAACGCCGACCTTGACCAAATTAAATGAGGCAGCATCAGCGGGAATTAGTGATGTGTCGGTCGCGAACGAGCCGATTCTTTTGAACGGCTCTTTGGTACGAACGAGGGGAACCGAGTCCTACTTGGTGAGAGCCGTTCTTGTTATCGTTCAATCGTTGGTCCGCACTCACTGCCTGCCAAAATCCACTCGCCTTTTAAAAAGCTTGATTTTGTTCCCCAAACGTATTCTGTGAAGACCCGCCCCTACTCTGTTTGGTAGGTTTCAGCACGAGGAGTGAGATGGGGTGGGTCTTAACGGAATACGCGAGAGAGAGAAGTCATAACAAGTGGTACAGGACAGGTAGACAACGTGTTTTTCGGATGGAAAATGAGCCAAACGCGAAAACGCAGCAGCATTTGGATTCACTTCAACCAAAACCCAGGCAGTGATAAAGCGCACCATTTGTAAAGGCAAAATATCCTTTAAAGCAGGATCAACAAATAATCTCCATCGCCACTTAAAAACACAGTATCTAATATTAAGAGTTGCATGAATTTCATTCAAGGCAAGGCAACTTTATTTACTTAACACATACAGAGGGTAAATTCAAAGTACATTCACTGACATGATGACATGGATATGGCGCCACCTTGTGTCATGTTTACAATGCCGATTATTGACATTAGGTCTGGCAATACAGTCAATCATTATCCTGGTGATTATTTTGCAGATAAACCTAGTAACCTTAAAAAAACGGCTCTTTTGAACGGCTCTTTTGAACGGCTCTTTGAAAGGAACGGAGCCATAAGATCCGGCTCCCTTCAAAGAGCCATAATTCCCATCACTAGCGGGAATATGTGATCTGAACTGTTTTGGTGTACTGATGAGAGCAACTCTCTGCAAATATTGAATTTAGCTTGAATCGACATTAATATGCGTGACTTTTCTGGCGTCAATTTAGCTTAACAGGGGAATGATAAATAGGGAGGACACAACATGGCCGCTGTTGTCACTACCTACTTTGCGAGCAATTTGGAGCCGGCCATTTTAACATTGCTCCGAGTTTAAATCCAGTTAGTGGGAGATGTCAGATGAATGCAAACTAGACAAAGTGTTTTTGTGTTAAATCAAATGTGGTAATACATCCAAAAAAAGACTCGTAAAAATGCACTTAAAACAATACATATTTCATTATTGCTTTCTTTTTGTTTAACCGTAATGCAAGTTGATCCTGTTGCCACATTTAATCTAATCTTGTAAATAAGCTTGTAATGAGGGGGAATATGGATCAGCCTCTCAGCACGGTCCCTGGGATTAAAAATGTCCGCCTGCTGCTCTCACTGTTGCTCCTCTCCGCTCCTCTATAAGCTCATGTCGTGTTGTGGGACTTTAATGTGTGTTCATTTCGTTGGATATCTACCTCAGTCTTGGTTAACCACATGTCTACATGATTAGCTATGTTGGAGAGAAAGAACATCACAACACAAACTGTTGCCTTTTACTGAAAGAAGCAATTGAACCTCATGTGTGTGTAGAAACAAAGTGGACTTATATATGTGGTGACCAGGTATCAGAGGTTATATTTACACTTTTCTTTGCAGCATCCTTTATTTACACTGATTAATGGCACCTGCCTTACCTGTGTGCAATAAATGTTACTGAGTGCTTTATCTCTGGTGTTCTTGTGTTATATGTTCGGGCACTACACAGCCTTAGGTTAGAAGATTTCTTATTGTTTCATATGGGGTTATGTTTTGAATATGAAGTTAGATTTTATAATTATTGGTGGTTTAAAGGTCCCCTATTATACTCTTTTTCACCAATATATTTTAGATCTATATACAAAACATGTCTCTGAAGTGTTTGGCTCGAAATACCAAACAGGTCATGCATTGTAGCATCCCATAAACCCCTCTGTTTCAGTCCCGTTCGAAAAGTGTTTATTATGTGTCTGTAGCTTTAAATTCTAATGAGCTGCTGCTGGCCACGCCCCTTTGTGAAGAGTTTGGTTTAAAATACAATGGTGCTCTAGGAGGTGATTCAGGTGATAAGGTGGGCGGGTGTTACCTTGGTTGGTTATTGGCTAATGATTACACAAGCCATAAAAACATTGTGACATCACAAAGTGGCCAAAATCTGATCAGCTAATTGTCAGACAGGTTTTTATATAGATGGAACTGGACAAAAAGAGAGGGAATCCTTTTTCCTGAAATGTTCTGAATCTCTTAACACAGATGGGACACAATTATGTATTAAATAAATGAAAAAGTGGATTTTGCATAATAGGTGGCCTTTAAGTTCATCATTATATAATGAGGAAAAACTTACAACCCAGGTTTCTTCGTCGAAGCATTAACTGTGATTTTTGGCATATCCACTATAAACATTACAATTAAGATGCAAGGATAAGATTGAAAGCTTTTTTTTATAATAAAAGTAATTAGATATGAAAATGGCTTTTGACAAAACAATCTCACCTTGATGTCCATAGCTGTTCTGATCTTTTAATCTCATCACATGGTATTCATCAGCAGATGAGGTGTTCACTTTTGTCATGGAAATTTTGATAAATAGAGATCCCACAAAGGGCCCACAAACAAGGGACATTTGAGTATTTACATTTCTAGAAATTGGCAAACTCCATAAGATGATGTAGATGATGGGATGTGATCTAAAACTCCAGTGTTTTTATTTTAAGTTTTTGAAAAAACAATAGAGAACATCGATTTTGCATTTCCTTGGATTTATCACAAAACGTTATATCATCACAAAAGGATACCAGTATACAGAATAAATTAAACACTTCATGTGTTGTCTTCTTTATTTGTAACATTAATGAGGTTCTGCCTCATCCCTAAAATATATTTCCATAAATGCATGACTGCACACATCAAGTTGTTTTGTAGGAAATATAATGAACCACAATTCAAACATTATTTTTTACAGATTTACAACATTTTCAACAAAGTGAAGTCAGTGTGACTTGATGACATTTTTATCCTCTCTCCTTTTTATTTTGAACAGGGGGGCTGAAGACAGTCAGACAGGTAGACATTATATTTAAAAAGGGGTTTCATCAGGTGTATCTTTGGTACATTAGCATATACAGAACTAAATGTTGAAAAGGCACTTAAAGAAAACAAGCTGTGGGTGGTTGTTTGAAGTGTTCTGTGAAAGTGGAGGGGCTTTTATTTAAGAGAACTGTGAAACAATTACAAAGAGGCACAAGGAGAGCCGGATAAATAAACAGTTCTAATCATTTCATATCTTCTCAGAAATGTGAGAACACTTTCCTGAAAATACACCAGCACAAGCTGTTATTGCGGCTCATAAAAAACAATTATTGAAAGGTTTTTATGAAGAGGCTGGCTCATTGTGATGGAGACGCCACAATACATGCTCACAGACTAGAGGTTAAGTGATGGAAGGCACCACACAAACCGCAGGCCCTGGGAAGAACGTGTGAAAAATGTTGTGTGCTCAGGAGAGCTGATCCATCAGTCTTTCTGTCTCTGCCACAGTGGCTCTTTAGTTTCCTGCAGGGCCCTTCACATCCACAAGCTGGGCTCCTGGCTGGAGGTTGCAGGATGACGGGTCGCAGTAACCATTAGGACCGGCTGACCCGGGAGGCCCAGGAACACCGGGCTGTCCGTGGATCCCAGGAGGTCCTCTCTGCCCGTCCCGACCGTCCTGACCGTAGCCAGGTTTGCCAGGCTCACCTGTGGACACAGAAATAATTTTAAGGTCAGGTTCCCACAGTCAAAGGCCCCCATATTCTATGGAAGCCCATAGGGGACTTTTCTTTCTATTTCTATTCAAATAGAATTTGAGAATAAAAAAATCATTTAGGAATAGCATTGTAACTTGTTCCCATATGTATGCTTTTTTTGAGTAAATGCAATAATCCAAATCTTATTTATTAATTCCTTCACATACTCCTATGGCTGTTCTTGGACAATATTACATTCTAAATAAATAAAGCTGTTTGATATTTTATTTTAAAACTCTACTATACTGTGCAACTGTTAATTTCAATGTCTCAAATACGTAACGTAAACAATGTAATCCAATTTTGCATTTATGCAAATCCCCTATGGGCTTCCATAATATACATTCTCAGAGTTTGTGGTTATTATTTCCTGTTGTTAACACCACCTTTAAGACATCTGAATTTAAGTCGATAAGGGGGACAAATTGACCTTCAGAAATGATATTGTCTTATATAGCTTTAACATTTTAAAGGCCAAGCTGTACTCACCAGGGAGTCCGGAAGCTCCTGGCTGACCTTTAGGTCCTCGAGCAGTGGGCCCTCTGGAGCCTCTGTCTCCCAGTTCACCTGTAACACACATTTTGTTATAAAGATATCTGTATACAAACATGTCATAATGTTATGTAATGTATAATTCTCTGGCTTCATCCTGAACTGTAACACCTGCCAATTCATTCTTTACCTTTGGGTCCTTTAACTCCAAGCATTCCTTGTGGCCCTTTGAGTCCTGGAAGGCCTCTTGTTCCGCCCTGTCCCGGGAATCCATTGTCTCCTTGAGAGCCAGGGGCCCCTGGAGGACCAGGTTTTCCAGGTAAACCAACTGCGCCCGACTCTGGCCTTCTTAAACTAGCCGCTAACTGTGCCAGCTGTTCTGTGGGAGCAAAACAGAAAGAAGATGATGAACCCGATGAACTTTAATACATTGAATGTAATTTAACAGATGCATAACTGGCAGCAAGACAGTAAATGTTTCTCAACAGCTGAAGCTGACTGTTATCGAGAGACTTTTTAATACACAACACCTGGTTATAAATCGTGAGGTAGCTCATTTTTGAAAGCCCCAGAGCCCCCTGGTAAAAGAGATGGTCCAACAGCTCCTGTACTTGAAGCAGAGTGAAGCAGAGCAAGGTGAAACCGTGGTCACGATATCCCTCGAGCTCCTGCTGTTTTTCTACTTTTTCTATAGAGCCTTGGTAAATCGAGCAGAAAGGATGTAATACTCTTTATTGCAGGCAATCAGCAACAGGAAATGTGCACTCATGGTGCAAAGGATCTAATATTAATCTCCTGTGGCTCCTGCAGCATGCTATTCTGCACTCCAGATTCCAGTTTTCCGGCTCCTGATGAAAATTCATGCAGCCGCTGTTTGACTGCTCCTTTTTTTATTAATTTTTTTGAAGATATATCCTTTCCAGGCAGACTCTTTGCATGGAGCGGTGGAGAGCAGGTCTGCTGGAGGTGAAATTAATTTTTCAGCACTTGGGGGTATAAAAAAATCATGAGTGTAGGAGATGAGTTGGTGAGACGCAGGAGCTTTAGAATGAAGAGAACAGAGGTTGTGACTTCAGAGAAACATTTCCTATCAAATAGACAAAGACTGAAGCTTATTTCATGTTTTGGTTATTAGGTCGTCCCTTTTTTGAACTCAAGAGTATTCAGCAGCCGCCCAGATCAATCACACCACGGAGGGGCGGCTCCTTGTGTGGTTGTGTAATGAGGCATTCTGGGAAAGATTAAAGTCATGAAATGAGGCACGAGGGACTGATGAATGGGTTCAAAGGCCTATCAGTTCTTACCTTGCATGACGCGCATGCAAACTTGTTTGATGTGCTGATCGCTCGGCTCTTTACCCTGAAAGGAAAAGGATGATTTAATAGATTTCATAACAGTAGATAAAACATTCATGACAAGACTACATGCCCCTGTTTTTACTGACTTGGTCTTCTATTCCTGGAGAACATTTTACCATTCTTTGGCTTGTAAAACCTGTTTAATTCAACATTTTTAAAGCATCCTGTGTGTGTAGTTTATATATCCCCTGCTGATGCTCAATATTGAGCTTTAGTGGTTACATTTTCTTTTGCACAAGTTGAAATTAGAAGAACGACATCAGAGTATAAAGATAACATATGCAGGTGGAAGTTCTCAGCCCAGAGGGACTTATTAATGGCTTCCACCTTTTCTTTGCTTTGCTTTTTTATGTTCACAATGGATAAATACTCCCAAAATCTAGTACCTCGTAAAATAAATGTGGGGAATTAGATGACAGTGTGGTAATGGGGGTACCTGTAAATTAGACTGAAACCTCTGAAGCTCTTTGAAATTCAAACACTGTTTCCATGAGAAGATTAAATAATCGTATTTCTGTAAGTCTTAATGTTAAAGCACAACTTGTTGGGAGCTTGGTTCTGTCACACTGCTTCAAAGACTTTGTAAGAATATTTGTAAACATTTTCTAAAAAAGGTTTTCTTTGATTTACCGCAGGACCCTGGGACCCTCTCACTCCAGGGGGGCCCCTGTTCCCCTGCATGCCCCGGGGTCCAGGTGTGCCAGCCGGCCCATCGATGCCAGGCTGTCCTCTGCTTCCCTCTGGTCCTCTTTTGCCAGCATCGCCTATGTTACCGGTCTGAACAGAGATAGAGGAATTAGACCAGGAAATGTTTACAAACTGCAGCACTTCCTCAATCATCAGGAAAATACTGGTAGATATAATCATTCTGAACTCACCTCTCCTTTAGCTCCACCTTCTCCACCCTCACCCTATGGAGGAAACACAAAAGGACAATTGTACTCTGGTGAGAATCTCTTCTGAACAGCATTGTTGAATAATTAATAATGTTGGTGTCACAACTTACGAGCTCCCCTTTGTCTCCAGGGTTTCCCTCATCACCTTGTGTTCCCTATAAAAACACAGTCTGTCAATGATTCATTTAAACACAGCATTACCATTAACATTTATTAAGATTTAATATGAGGATATCACACCTGATCTCCTTTGGTTCCTAGATCTCCACGTTCTCCCTGGAACAACCAAAACAAACGTGTTAACTAGCTAAATGATCACCACACAGAGCGATATGTATTATACTTTTACACACTAGAGGGAGCTGATCAGCTGTTTTTGCTGAGCGTTAATCACCCTGTTACTGTTTCAGACAATTGTCCTCAAGCTGAAAAGGTCAGAGCAGTTTTCTTACCCTCTCTCCCTTCACTCCGGGCAGGCCGTGAGGACCAGGAAGACCAGGGAGGCCGGGGTCACCTTTGGATCCCTATAACAAACAAAAAAATAAACAATGAAAATATATAATAGAATAGCGCTGATATCTTATGTATCTATGTTATCAGCAGCATCTAAAAGCCAAAACAATGCCTCAGTGTTTGTAGCTGTTTCAAGCATAACACCTGTTCACTGGCAGAAATGGCTCAATTATAAATAGTAATTGTAAAATATCTCATTGCTACTTATTCTCTCATCTGTCACTGTGTGCCAGTCCCTCTCTGATCACTGAGAGACTGTCAGAGGAATGCCAGGAGAACAGAGGGCTCTTTCAGCCCGCTGCTTACTGCTCTCCCCTTACTGTGAAAATAGACCTCATGTGAGATCCAGCCTCGGCCTATTCTCTGAGACATTCCAGGGAAACAACAGCCAGGACTTCAGGCTTCCCTCCTTTCAGCTTCTTTCATTCATAGAATCAAATGTGCATGTTCACTGGCTGCTGGGGTATTCATGAGGACAGTTTCTTTTCAAAATAGGGGCATGAAATTAAGAGATTTAATCGGGTAAAATCCAACTTTGGTCTCTTTTGTTTATAGCTTACCCTGCCACCTGGCTTGCCCGATGAACCTAGAGGGCCTTGCACACCCACAGCTCCCTGTGGGAAAGAAGAGACAATTATAAGAAAGTAATAGTTGAAATTAACATACGGACAAAATAAAGACAAAGAAATTCAGGGTTATTATTGTCAATTATAACAGGAACTAGAATAGACATTGGCAGTGAAATATATTGTCGTAAACTGAAACTAAATATAAAAACATGTCCAAGAAAACCCAAAAATGTAACTTATTAAGATAAAACAAAAAAGCATTTCAATTTTTTGGCTATATCACTATTGGAAGCTTGATTTCCATCAATTCTCCTGACATTAAAACAAATAAATTATACTTTGATGAAATTAAAATGAAATTAAGTTATAAAGTCAAAACTAAAATGAACTTTAAAGACGTTTAAAACTATTATAAGCAAAAGTACTCACAGGTTCTCCAATAGGCCCAATAGGTCCAAGCCCCCCCTGGTTTCCACGCTCCCCCTGAGATGTGACAGGAACATGACTCAGTGACAGGACAGAGGTGACAAAAAATCTCAACAGTGTTTCAACATGTGCGGCCCATCATACTCACAGCTTTGCCAGCAGGTCCCATTGTTCCCGTGAAGCCTGCCTGACCCACGTCTCCCTGTGAAGAAACAACCAAAGTTGCTTTTAAATGTTCACAATTTAATAAAAAACTAAAAGAATACAAGAAACAACGGATAATGTTTTATAAATGATGAGGCAAACAACCTTAGAGCCACTCAAGCCTTTTGGTCCAGATGAACCAGGCAAACCCTAAAAACAGAAAACACTGCATCAGAAACAACAATTGATTACAACAAAGGATGAATCATTGGGAGAAACACTGGAGCAGAGAGAAAGCTTAGTGGATACAAAACACATTTGGTTTGAGCTTTTGACCCGAATAAGCTTAGGTAGTCTGGATATACAAATTGGCTGATTACTTTTATGCCTAGGAAATCTTTCTTAATTCTGCAAAAGGCGAGCTGCTCAACTGATTCTCATTAGGGCCTTGTGTTAGTCTAATCACAGATTAGTGGGCTCAAGAAACGTTGCTTTCACTTTTCAGCCGCGGGAAGCCAGAGAATACGGTCTAACAGCTGAGCCTGCTGTCTTTGAAATATCACAGAGGGTGGGAATCAATAGTATTTTGTATGAAATGTCTAACCACAGAAACTGTTATATATATTATACAATACAATGGTAAGAAAGGGTAACACTTCCTCTGATGTCCATGTCTTTAATGCATAGACATAGGGATAAAGTAGTGTTTATCCTTTTACATAATGTGTTTTTATTTCTAATATTTACAATGAATAATAAGGTATGAGCATGAGACTGGCATGAGAAAATGTACTTCCCCACCCCTTTAACTATAGTCATTTATGTTAGCTTTAGTCTACATTTTGTGTGTTGTTCTTGCACAGATTTATTTATGTTTTTTCACTTTACTAAAAGCAAACAATGCATTTTAATGCATTAAAAAAATATTATAATATATTACATACAGTACTATGGGAATTGTAATACACTATTATACTCACAGAAAATGTCATTGAGAGACCAGAAATGCTGTAGTAGTAGTGTAGTATTATGAAAGTTAGCCTTACATTATTTTATATTATCTATTATAATTATTGTTATAAATAATTATGTATAGTAAACATTGCTATAAAACGGACATTCTCACTGCAGCTTTTTACTGCAGTACAGTCGTGGAGATGAGGTTTGTTCTGCGGCATGCCTCAGCTATGGTGCTTTAAACGGCTCCTGGTGAGTTTACTCAGGTGCATCTAATCAGAGTCAGTCAGTGTGGGGTCAAAGGTCATACTCACAGGAAGCCCCTGAAGTCCAACCTCTCCAGGAACGCCTGACTTCCCAATGAGTCCCTGCAGAGACAGACAGAAAGAATGAAGCTCATACTGCTCCTCGGCTTAATAGAAATACAGTTGGTTTTTTATAAACTGTTACATTATTACTAGTTTTATAAATAATTGAGGCTTTACCTTTCCTCCAGGCATCCCAGGAATACCCTCGCGGCCGTCCACACCGGGCAAGCCCTAGTAATAAAAATAACAATGTTAAATTATCGTTTTGGAGACAATGTATGGAGCATATTAACCTTATCGATCACACTTACACCATCTCCCTTTGGACCAGGAACACCTGTGATTCCTCTCGACCCCAGAACACCCTGAAAAACAAAGCAAAAGTTCATTTTTTAAAAACTGTATAAACAAATGGCATTGAATCAGCGTTCATTGTCAAAATCTAAAAATATACATGTTTTAATGCGTCTACTTACAGTTTCTCCATTAGGCCCAAGCTCGCCCATCACACCTCTCTGGCCTCGATCCCCCTGAAATGCATTATATCATATCATGTGGGCCACATTTGCTGCAAAAGTTGAAAGCATTTGTATTGTGGGACAAACTTACAGTTGCCCCCCCAACACCCTGGGGACCTGGATCTCCACCAAGACCCCGAGCTCCCTGCAAGAAAACAATATCCACAGTTAAAAACATGTTTGAAGAATAAACATTGTAAAGGCAACAGTTCATGGATTTTTATGAACTTAAATATCATAGAAACACTTACCAGCTCTCCCTTGTGGCCCATCATTCCCATGGCCCCAAGAATTCCCTGGGGACCCTGAAACACAACCAACAGGTGCGTTCATGAGCAGAAGAAAAGACATAGGAAACTACAAATATTTTTACTGTAACTTTATATATGAATCTAATTGAATGTGGTATCTTACCGTTGGTCCTTGTGATCCGAGCTCCCCTGATCCACCCTGGTCTCCTTCCTCACCCTGTGTCAACGAAAGATACAGACCATTAGGATAAAAGCATTGTAAAGTCAATCAGATGAAACAGTAAACAGCATATTCAAATGGAGGCTGCTCCTATCCACTTTGTGTTAATTAGAAAATCAGGCAGCCTTTCTGAAATGTGTGTAATGGTTACTTTTTAATGGACTGTGAGGGGGGCAAAGCAAACAAATTAGCTCCAAATTACTGTTCTCCAGCTTTGCAAATTACACATAGTTTATAAGCTAACTGGTAGACCGTGGTAACCCTAAGTAAAGAGATGAACACAACGCATAACTGAAAATAAATATTACACAACAAGCAGAAATGAACACAATGAAACGGGTCAACATCTGTTTACAACATGAAAATAAAACATATTCCTTATTCTGTTTGATACTAAACAAACTCTCCATACTCTCCAATCATTGAAAGAAATGTCTTCAATTTCTGGTGTTTTAAAAAATTCTGTCTGTTTTTATTGTTAAAGATTTGTTATGCTATTGTTATAGGTTATATATAATTAATTTATTGTTTCTGTTTATATCTAATATAAAATGAAGTACTCTGTATGTCACTAGGTCACAATCTGCCATCGTTCAGACACTTACTAACTTTATATTTGAATATTCTTTCCCAATATATTTACATTATACACGTTCATCCCCTGCACACCATCTGGTATTCTTTGTTAGCTGTAAACATCTTTATGTGTGGGGATTTGTGAGTGAGAAACAGGCAGAAGGCACGCAGCTCTCAGTGAGGAGAAGCAGACTGACAGTAAATCATAAGCTGCATGGGGTGATAAAGAGAGATAGGCCCAGACTCATTTCCATTTATATAGTGCATAGACACATTACAGGGAGAGGCTAGTTTGTGCTTGAACATCATTTCAGATAAATCATTCTCCATGCATTACAAGGAGTCAGACGCATTACACACAAGCATGTATCACTTCCTCATGGAATAGAGCAGCACAAATAATACTTGTCTCCAAGGCGAATATCCCCTTTTCGCGTTCAAGTCGTGCATAATTTTGTTTTGATGTGGAATGTTGTGGCATGTGTGACAGTTGTGGAGGCAAAATCATATTTTTATGGAACCATTCATGCAGTTTTATGCAAGGATAAATTCACTTTGTTGATGTTGTTGATGTTTAAAACATGTTATATGACTTTAAATACTTGGCTTTTGGTTTAAAAACAAGGATTTCTCCCTAGATGAATCATATTTTACCTTGTGCCCTTGTTTCCCAGGTTCTCCTGATCCGCCTTTTACACCTTTGTGGCCCTTGAAAAATACAGACAATCAAAGCAGCGCAAGTTAAAAACACAATATTGGGACAGAATCGTCATGTGACAAGACATATTCACTTTGCTACTCACCTTCATGCCAGGAAGGCCTGGATGTCCAGAGGTCCCAGGAGGGCAAGAGCCTGTACACTAAACAACAACATAAGTCAGAAAATGTAGCTGATAATCTCAATTTAAAAAGAAAATGTCATTTATAATCTTCAGAAAAAGGTTTTACCAGGTCAGCACTGCCTTGCATTCCAGCTGCACCCTGAAATTGAGGGAAAAATACAGGTTTAGAATGTATTTATCAAAATCATGAAGGAGATGGTGAATCACGAGAGTGGGATGCTCTTAGGCCAAATTCATTACATTTCTGCCTCACGCTTCTTCCCTTGTGAAATATTAAGTGAAATGTAATCATATCGAGATCTATGTCACTTACTCTGGCCCCTGTAGGTCCACGAGGTCCCTGTGGCCCTCTCACACCTATGGACCCCTGTGGAAAGACAAAACAAAGATGTGTCAAAGACTGTACAGAGAGAATAAATGCACTGGGCTCTCAATTTAGGAGATCTAGCACAGACTGCGCTTTTAATGTGAATTATACACAACTGCAGGTATCATTTCAGGGATGGCAAAAGTAACAATAAGCCTAAAAGCAATAATGTATGTATGTGTTGCACAAATGTATAATACTACATTCGATATTTCTCACTTCTGCTTGGACCGACTTTCGTTTATTTTTGTTTTAGGGGCCAACACATCTGATTTTGTTGTTGACCAACAGAATAACACCACCTCTGTGCTCATACTAGTATGATTTGATGTTTCTAGCCTCGAATTTAAAACAGTTATAGTCCATTGCTTGGTCAATACTCACAAGTGGTCCAACTTTTCCCAGTTCACCCAAAAGTCCTCCAGGCCCAGGTGGTCCCTGTACAAAGTCAAACACAGGAATTTAGTATTGACCATTTTCTATACCTCAGAAAATCAATATAAACTGTGGAGTTGATTGTGTATAAAAGAAAATGACTTACGGGGGGTCCATCTGGCCCAACCCCCTAAAGAGAGACACACAGTTTGAATAAGGGTGATATACAGTATATGCTGTAATTTGATATACACGAGGGAATAAAAGCTAACAATAAAATAAAGACATATTATCCTTGGACTGACAGGTGTAGAGAGGATATGCTACTCACAGTTGTTCCACGAGGTCCAGATTTTCCAGGTTCACCCTTAAGAACGAAGATAAATACATAAGATACACACATAGGTGATGAAACAAATACTGAAATACTGTGTTATTCAGGTCAAATTGAGCTGTGTGAACCTGCAGACGGTCTAAGTTAACATTCCTGCAGATCATCACATGACTGTGCCGGGCACACTTGACCCAGCAATGTTTAGCTTTAATGAGGAGCGATGTTGGGGGCTTTCGTTCCCCACGGAGACTACACAGAACACTTGCAGGATTAAGTCTCATTTGTCATGAGGAATTGGTTTATGCACTGCGGCGCCCGCTGCCATGCCAAAAAGACCGGACAGCAGCTTGGCTCCGTTTCACTGACAGTCTCTGAAGCAGGGAAGCAAAGGCTCATTAGTCACTCACTTTCTGTCCGAAGGGACCATCGGGCCCTGCATCTCCAAAAGGGCCGGTCAAACCCTGCAGAGGAGAGAAAGCATGCTTAACGAATACATCATAACAAACAGAAAAGCACATCAACGCCTATATGTTCTCATTATGATACAAAATTATGCATCAGGCAATCCTTTTATCCCAATCTCTGTAAAAAATGTCTCTCGTGAATCTATGTATTACATCATCAAAACATAATCATACTCCAGTGGGAGGAGTCCTAACTGGACTATACCCCCCCCTCCTCTATATATATAAACACTGCACTGCAGCTCCACGTTCACGAATCAAAGCTCTGTTTTGGAGCACATCATGACGTACACCAGAGCGAGTGCGACTTCACAGACACACAGAAAGTCAGCAGCAGGGCAGAGGGCAAAACTCTCAGACTGCAAACCAAGCACAGAGAGCAACATTCCTCTGGCCCATTTCAAACAAGCCCACTGAAAGAAAATCATTCCACACTGTTTTGAGGATTCTCGACAGGAGATACCAGCAGCGGCCAGCCTACAAAGCTGCTATTGTTCTCAGAACCCTGGTGCATTTACCCAGGTTGGCAATGAATCATAATGCACAACAGAAATACATGGATTGTACATTCTGAAACTCTATCTAAGCCTTTAAGTTGATATAAATCCACCTACAGTACAGTTAATCTTTGTCAGTCAATCATCAGCACCAGTGTTATGATTGGATGTTTTCCTAACCCTCCTTTAAACTCTGGGGAGCAAAGTTAATTACACTCTGAACCTGGTTTACCCTGCTACAAAGGACATTTGGATTTGTTCATCCTGTTTAATAAATTCTTCGCATTTTTGCACACATTTCCCCAACACCCTAAATGTGACATTTCATTGGTCATCTAAAACACTAATAAGTGTCAACATAATATAATAATGAGATGAATCCTCACACTTTGTAGTTCCACCCACTTTGCAGCCTTATGGATTGCATGTTGACCTCATTGTGTCAAATAGGGCAGATGTATAAAATATGTATTTATGTATAACAAGTGTATTAAATACTCACATCATTTCCAGGAAGTCCAGGTAATCCTGTAGAGCCGGGTTTACCTGAATCTCCATCAGGTCCCTGAAAACAAAGGTTCCACATACACACACGTTAGTGAAAAGCTCTTCAATGTAAAGCAATGCTTCATTTTAATTGTATTTATTAAACGTTATAATTACAGGAAGTCCCTCTCCGCCATCGTCTCCCCTTTCCCCCTGAAACAAAAGGGAGTCAATGCTTTAAGGTGAGCAAATAGTCAACTGTTCGCATATTATTTTGCACATGATAGGAACAATGTAAAAATGTAACAGAACTGAGAGCACTTACAGAAATGGCATCAATTCCCGGTACACCTGCAGGCCCAGAAGGTCCTTGGCTCCTCTGAACAAAATAATAAAAATATGATATAATGACAAAACATCAGCTTTAAATAATTAATATTATTGCATGTTGCCATTTGACTGACATACTGCTACACAGACAATGAACAAATGTGCATTTCATTGTTTTATGTTACTAGAAGAGAAGCCTGTTTGGTACATAAAAAATAGCTATAGAATGTATTTCTCATGCACAAATCACCAGCTTTATGTAGCATTTCGCAAAAGAAAAAGCTTAAGAAAGATACTCTAGACAATAGTCGCATCCCTGACTTTTTTCCATGCTAGATGTACAATACATTTGTTAGATAAAACACTCTTAGCATGTCGCCAGTGTTGCTGGTAAACATCTTGTTATTCGGCACCAGGAGACACTTACCTGCACCTCGGTCCCATCCGTCTATAGAGAAAAAAGAGAAAGAGAAAGTAGGAGAGAAGGAAACATAATAAATCTTACTTGAGCGGAGCAGATAAGGACAAGCTGGAGAAGCAGAACCAAAAGTGGCCCTCTAACGCTGGGGGCCTGAGCCATGATCTCCCGATGGACAGGAAAGGTAAAAGTTGTAATCCTTTCTCTGGGTTTGGTTGGGTTGAAGAAGCCCCCGACAAAACAACCCAACTGAATCCGCTTCAGCTATCTAGACAGTCCGAGGTCCCATAGCCATCAGAGCCTCATGTATATTCATGCCATGTTTGGTTACAGGAAGGGATTGGAGGTAGGGGAGGAGCCTCGGCGCAGACACCACCAATAGGCAGGGTCAGCGGGTCATTTAACCTACTGTATGCTATGGATTTTATTTCAACTAAAATGATCACTGTAATGATAAATATTGTGTATTGAGACAATTGGAGTATAATTGTAAGTCACAAATATACAGCATGAATAAAAAATGTGGTTTTACGCACACAATTTCAATGCTGCTTGATTTAAAATGCCCGTGCATTACATTACATTAAAACGTATTAAGCTAAAACATTAGGAACGTCTATAACTGGTAGTTTGAAACCTCAAACTGCGGATTCAGATTGTTATTATGTACTTTATTTTTAAATCTTCTTACCGATGTCCTGGCTGGGAGGTCATAACAAGGCTCTGTCCGGGCTCGCGTCAAGTCGCAGTGAATCAGCATTGACTGGAGTTCAAACTGTATAAACACATGAACATGGAAATAATACATAAGCACAATGACATCCTTAGGACTAGTTCTGCACCCTAATACCGGAAGAGGTTAAATCATCACATATCGTCCTAAAAGCAAGAGGCTGTTTTCATTAACAACTTTGCCACTACTCTGGATTTCCTGCAGCATATACGATACAATTCAGACAGCAGGGTGTGCACAATACATAGACTATGTTACAGGGCTCATTATGGATTCATTAAAACACGCTCTTCAAACGCCGGGAGTAATATGAGTTATTGGTAAACATTCATTTGTATTAGGATGCTTCTGTGCGTAATTGTACACACGCATCCGAATATTTGGAACACTTGCACGTGCGCTGCACGGTGTGGTATTACATGATTGTTTAGCCTGTGCAGAGCTAGTATTCTTCGCCAGAAGCTGCAACAAGTTCCGAATATTTGTCAGTGAAGCTTGAATGGAGAAACAGCAGACTTCAACTGCTGACCATTGTTAGAGACAAACGAAACAGCAGGGTGAGAAAACACAAGGATTCCTAAACGTTTGCAGGTCAACCTAAAATGACTAAATGAGGACTGTGGCGCACAAGATGATCAGTGAAGTTAAGTGAAACAATACAAACACAAATAGAGCAATCTTTCTAAATAAGTTAAGAAGATTTGCCAAGAAAAATAAATAAATTCACTTCTAACAATTCATAATTTTGTTATGAGCTCATTCTACACTTTTCATGTAGCCTAAACCTAAAGTAAAAACAACTGTGCAGGCATCACATACATTTAACCAATAGGTGATCACGTTTCACGATATGATCAATTACATTTTATAAAATAATGTATGGCTTAATTTTTATTGTGGACTCTTGGAAGATTAACCAATTACCTAAAATACATCAAAATAAATATTAAAATCAAATAATGTTGTTTACAAGTACTCCTACGTTGGAATAGTGCTTGAGAAACGTGATTCATTTCCACCAGTGCCCCCTCTTCTCAGCTTAATGAGGAAGTGCTGTGATGTGGCTCTGAAAGTGAACATTACTGTATACTGTGAAAGTGTCAATAAATAACACTTAGGTAATAATATAAAATGTTTAATGAGTCTGAGCAATCAATCCATCCATACAGACTGTATGAGCTAAATGCATAGGAAGCTTTCTTCTCCTTTACAATTCACAAATTAGGCAAACCAATCAATGTATGTGATCAAAATACCACATTTGGGCTTTTACAGAAAACGTTTATTTTCCAATAGCTGGCAACTATCCCCCTACTGGCTGACTGATCCATGTCCTTGTGGAAAGCCCTGGGCCAAAAAAAACGTGTTAAGGGCCACCAAACTCCTAGGGCCAACCCAATTCTTAAATGTTATAAATGCACATGTCTTCCTTCAGACGCAACATCTGTAGGATATAATAGACGTACCGGTACTGCCAGCACAGGGTTGTCCTTGAGCTTTCCTATCAACGTGAAGCCATCCAGGCTGACTTTGTTTCGGGCTGGTATATTCTGAGAACCGATCATGGCACAGTCCACGAACAGTGTTACAGAGCGCCTGTTCACGTGCAGCACCACTTTGTGCCACTGGTCGTTGAAAAGAGTAGGCAGGGGGCCGAACACAAGAGTCTGCCTCCCGGTGTCCAGTGCAGTGAAGGTGAACTCCAGAGACTGAGACTGCCCATTGAGTCTGACGGCCAGCTGCTCCATGCCATTCACATCCTGCATTTGCCAGATATTCCAATTTGTATTAATGGTGCTGCCACTCATGCGCAGCACGGCCACAAATGCAAACTCCTCAGGTAGACCCAAGGGGTAAGCTGATCTGAAATACAAAGGAAACTGTGTATGTACTGGACATATATTGTGTATCAACGACTATTGTCCTGTTGATAATGGTCAAATCATATATATTGATCATATACAATGTCATGGTTCTGTTTTTTAATTAGTAGCTATAACTGATGGTCCAGATAAGGTCAAGCTCTGATGTTCAGGACCATGGACAGGGTAAATGACGTATGACCAGCTCACCCACTAGGTGTCAGTATTCACTCATGCAACTCCATTTTAACGCCATGCAGCTTACCTTGTGTTGATCCTGAAGTTGAATGCTGGGCCTATTTGATAAGCAGCATGCTGAGTAGATGTTCCAGTAACCTTTTTAACAGTGCCCCTTCTTGCCAGCTCAGCAATTTGGAACTGGGACATAATATAAAAGCCTAAGGGAACAACGACAAAAAAGTAGTTACATTCAAAATCATCTTAGAGGTCATGTTAGACCTTGGGTATAGACTACTACAGGGTTAAGGACACAAAAAAACATTTTAAATTTGTGTTATGACTTTGAAGTATTTTTGTAATGATAATTCATGGACATGGGTTACTAACCAAGGGTCTTCTAACTATTATATGTTCTTACCAAAAGCTATTAAAAATAATATACGGTTTCACAAACATAGAGCATCAGCATGAAAAGTGTACTTTTTCACAGCAGTATTTATATAGGAATAAAAGTCTGTACAGTAGCTCTTTTTCTCATGTGGGCAGGGAAAATGTCAAGCAAATAAGAAAGCAAACTGTGCTTAGTTTTGGTGAATCCACCTGGGAAGTGATCCTCCCCAACGCTGATCTGAGGGCATATGGACTGCTGCTCCCTATGAATACCAACTTGAGATGAAAATCTCACAGCTGAAAGCAAAAAACAAAAAGCAGCCCGTTAGTAGTCAGAGAGAGAGAGAGAGAGAGAGAGAGAGAGAGAGAGAGAGAGAGAGAGAGAGAGAGAGAGAGAGAGAGAGGAGAGAGAGAGAGAGAGAGAGAGAGAGAGAGAGAGAGAGAGAGAGACAGACAGACAGACAGATAGAGACACAGAGAAAGAGTGTGTGTGTGCGTGTGGTTGTGGGGGTGTGTGTGTGTGTGTGTATTGTGGTGAGGGAATAAAAGCTTAGTGTTTGGAAAGCTGCACCGCTGCCTTGAATAAATATTAGGCGATCTCTGGCTGTTTGTGGTTTCCTCTTTAACACTTACACTCTAAATTTGCTTGTTTTTTTACACATCTGGAGAGAAAGTTAAAGGTCTTTATCAAGGTTGACTTCACATCTCACAAAATGTGCACTTGCATGGTACCACAATTGTATTAGACATCTAACACTGTTCACATGACATGTGTAGTGATACTGTTTTATTTTACTTTGATATGTTGCAGTATTCACTTACATCATAGCACACTTGAAACTATATACAGCTACACAGCTTGACACCCTAACCCTGCAATGATGATGCTGCTACACAGAACCACACAGTATGCATGTCATAAAATATAGATAAGAGCAGCAGTGTTTATGGAGGAAAGACAATAAAGTGGAAACGAAGCAATGATTCATTAAATCATTTAACAAGCGGTTTATATGAATGAATATGAATTGAGTTTTTCAGCTATAAAATAGGTCTGGAACATGTAACAGATGTCCATATTTAACATGTATTGAAGAAAAAAATGCAGAAGTATGTAATGGCTGAAGAGATATTAATAATTATTACGCAAGTGAACACTTACTTTTGCAACAATGCACTGCATTGGTAATTTTGCAATGTTGAATAGGTTTTTTTTTTTTTAAATAAAATATTTGTATTATTTTAGTACTTACTCTGAGAATGAAGTCCTGTGCAAAGGTATTGTGGGAACACATAGCAGCAGCACAATGAGTACAGAAGGATATTTCTGTAATGCAATCAGAAGAAAAAAGTAGACATGCATTTATTTGCATTATGGCTTTCATTGTAGAATTAAAACTGCCAGACAGTGTTTGCAAATTACTCGGGTACAAGGTAATTATTGAGTGGATTGTTTACCTTTTGACTCCATCCATTTCATAGCTTGATCTGGAAATATTAACACATTAAAAAAACACCTGCCGCTGGATGTATCTTCAGATTGGCTTCCAGGAGAGAACCAGATCCTGACTAGTTGCCCCCTCAGCAGGAGTGAAAAACTGTCAGGTCACAGTGAGGGGTCTTAAAGGCTTGACTGTTGTCATTTATTTGGGGGAGTGAGTCAACAGTCTCCACAGTGTCAACTTTACATTCCAAAAGAGTTCTCCTGCAACCACCTTGCATTTAATGTTCCTTCAAGGATACAGTCACATAATTGTACCCCATTTGTAGTTCTATTTCCATGATTGGGCACTATAATTAATGCCATGTAAGTTGCTGTGAAAAAGATAATGTTACCCTTGGGTGGCTTTACTTACCCAGCATTTTTGGTATCCACATTCTCTGTGATCTCTATGGAGACGAAGCATTCAGACAGCATTGTTTCCAGTGCAATCCAAACTAATAATCTAGAGACGCTGACTAAGAAGCTATAGGAAGGTATTCAAGATGTGTTCGTACTGTCAGGCCCAGAGGCAGAAAAAAAAGTTCATCCTCAAGAAGAAGGAGGACTTGTATTTTCATTTTATTGATGATCTATGTAATTGCAATTTTGTGAAACAATAGCTTACAGCCTGTTAAATACATATACATTAAAAATCTTTGGAATATTTGGAAAAACCTCCACTTTAGATGTTTGACAGCGTTATTGCCATATGCAAATAACTACAATGACAATTATACTGCTACTACTATTACTACTACTATAACTACTATACTACTACTACTACTTAAAAGTATTTTATCGGACACAATTTACGGCCATCAAACACTGGACTACTCTTTCAATTAAAAAAAAACCTGTATTGATTTTAACTCATTCTCTTATGGTGCAAACAAAATTGATATTAAGCAACCAGTCATGCCAACATTAATTACACTGTAATCTGAGTATTTCAATTGTAGCTGTATTGTAATATTATATTTGGACTGTACTATGTATTATTTTATTGACCTGTACTTAAATCATGTTTTATAATTGTTTGTGTGATAGAGATTATGCAATGTTTTAGTGTGTGTTGATTGTTATGTACCTCAGGACTGCAGATGGAAATTAGCTATTAGCTATAATCTGGGATAATTAATATCTTCTCTTTTCTGAGATTAATGTATTTGTATGCATGGTCCTTGTTGAAATAAATACATAATATAATAACAATAACATTTGTATTATAATGTGTACAAAATAGTATTTTAATCACGAATAATAATAGTACAAATATTATATAATTGTTGTTGTTATTATTGGAATATAATTATCGTTATTAAACCATGTATCGATGTTCCATTTACATGTATCAATATTGC